TATTAATTTATTGTAATTAATTATTTGCATGCAATTAAAAACTAATTTTAAACGATGCCAAAGAAGGATAACTTCTCACGCGCCTACATAAGTACACGCACCCATTTTTTTTATAAGTACTTACCTAGTTATAAATTATCGTTGCTTCAATTAATATTTTTGTTATTAGCTTTTACAATGGGGCGTAGAACTCCTGCTTACCATTGTGTCAAAAATGAATGAAACAATGATGCAGCCATAAGGAAAACTTGTGAAGCAAAGTGAATGAATATGCTTATATATTTGTTTCTTAGGTTTTGTTGAAATCTTTTTTTTATTAATTAAATACTCAATAAACGCATTACATGCGCTAGCAAAATTCCCATTCCGATCAAAAAAATATCCATTAATCTTAAAGACAAGGTCTTTGTTTAAGCTTATTAAAAGGATATTCGGTTTCTTTTGCCTGGGTACCTAGCCATTGTGGCATAATTGGTAACGAATATGCCGATTACCTCGCTCGAGACACAGAAAAGTGTGGTGATCTATATGTCACAATCAACATTACAAGATTCATGGTTCAGGTTATAGGTGGAGGGTAATAAATCTAAAGCTTAGTACTATCGCTCATTACTACCAACTTTACTTACTAAACCTTGGTTTTCAAAATCAAGGTTTAGTAAAACAGTTACTACAATTTTAATTCGAATGCGCCTCGGATATATTTGTACTCCTGACCGTTTGGCAAAATACGGTGTAATAGATACGTCCACATGTGAATGTAGCGAAGTTGATGCTGACGTTAAGAGCCCTATTACAAATCTGCACTCTGCGAGAATGGGTATTTGAAGCGTTCCCGACAACTCATTGAAGGTCACGAGTTTACAATACTGTGTTGAACCTACAACCAAGCGATTTTCATACTTTTTTCCAAGTTTTGTATATTTTTAGTATTTCTATGTAGTAATTTGTTATCGCTATACCCGCACATTTTTAGAGCCATGGAGGTTCTCATATGTGAATAAACAGATTAAATGAAGATGATACCATAAATAAGACAGATGATATTAGTCCAAAACAAAAATTATTTTTTATGTTTTTCGTTTTAGATTAAAATAAAAGATTAGATATTTATTATTATTTATATATTATTATAAATATATATTACTATTATGTTTGATTATTTACATGACAGTATAAAACACCTTAAGTCAGAACTACCTATTTGCCAAATTTCAATCAAATCGATCTAATGGTTTTTGTGTGAAAAAGCAACAGTCATGAGCTTATTTCAGATTCATCATATTATAACCTGCCCGCTGAGAGAATACGTTCTTGACATTTGTCAGTTAGTCATATTATAACGGTATATTACTCTTAGCCACCGCGGTATCCTGCTATGATGTGGCCAATAGGAATACACTGTTACGAGTAACTCACAGATGTCAGAAATGTACTCCCTCAAAAATAAAACGTTTTTCTTGTAACGAATCAAACTCTAACTCAATATCATTTATTCAGTCTAGACTGTTACAAGTATTTGTGAATGACGAAATGCTATGCCACCGGTTTGCAAATCTACGGCGGGAGACCTTGTACTGAGAAGAACCGGTAAGAAACTCAGCAAGGGCTCTTTTTCTCCCTGCCATTATATACAAAGCCGTCAAATTTAAAAATGACTTCAATATGGGATAATTCATGAAGTCATTTTCCGTTACAAACACAAATAAAATATATAAAAAAATACTAACACTTTAAAAATACTTTTTTAACACATACTTTAAGAACGCCGTGTAGGACACTTAAGACATAATAAAAAAGTACGATTACAGTCAAATATAACGATATCATTATCAGCCGACGGACGTCCACTGCTGGGCATAGGCCTCCTCAAGGGATTTCCATAAAAAACGATCCTGCTCTCTCCGCATCCAGTAGGTCACCCTGACTCGCTTGATGTCGTCACTCCACCTCGTAAGGAGTCTACCGACACTGCGCTTCCCGGTTCGAGGTTGCTACATTAAATGGGGTCCCAAGGAGCTTCACCCTGGGACCCCATTTAATGTAGCAAGAGCAGACCCATCTCCGCTGGCAGCACCCATTAACCAGCATGACGCATGAACCAGCCATCGCTTCGCTCAACCATGTTTTAGGGAACGTAACGATCCGCCTCACATGGCACCGCCAAAGAGACTTTTAAGAGAGCATGACTACTCCCAATTACATATGGATACTAGATTGCAAATAGAAAAAAAAAATAAGTACCTGTGTACATTATTACAAAAAACACAACTGCAGGACATATGCATGTGATTACCTATACACTATTACATCTTAAATAGAAAAATAATATGTAGTTGTTGACCTATATTTAATTGCTGTGTCAAAAATCAATTAATTATCATTACAATAATACAGTAGTGATAATGTCGGGATATTTTCTTTATCCATCGGAAATAATAATGTTTTCTTGGCAGAGAAGTTATTCATTCTGAAATAGTGACATTATAATTGATTAGTGCTGAATATCTCTTATACTTCAGCAGGGTTGATAGAGGTTGCTTTCCAATTACAGCATTATAGCACATTATGCGGCATAATGCTTAACGTTATGTGTTCCAACTACAGCAACGCTTCGCACAATTGAGCACTCTTAAAAGTGATGCTTTCGTGTGATGCGTGCAATCGTACCAACTTAGAGACAGAAAATTAACAAGTGTTTTTTCTTTAAGTTGGCATTGATCGAAATGTTTTATTTATATGTTATCGTTAGTAATATTATTTATTGTTGAAAAATTATTAAAGCTTTCGTTTCATTAAATAGTATTTTTTTAAATTATCAAAGTTTATTCAAACTGTTAAAAAATAAATATAAGTATGGATGAAGGTACAAACATTGACTTTTTTTTTCAACACTGAACTTAGCGCACTCTGCTGGTGCATTTGAAAACTAATTCACGTTCCAATTAAGCATCAGCATAATTCGGCATTGTGCGGCACTGAGACGCATTATGCTCTGTAATTGGAAAGCAAGCAGAGTTTCACATCAGGTGCACCAGACATTCGATTTTTAGATCATTACAAAATACTCATTGTGTGTACATTTGTATCTCTTACAGTTTGGCTGGGCTATTATGGTTCCAAATTAGTTATTCCTATCGTCAAAATAATATTTATTACAGAGGACGAATAGCAATACAAAAACAAAATTTCATCAAAATCATAAAAAGACAATTTAAAAAAAATGCAAAATTGGCTCGTTTACATTTTTATTATATGTTTATATTATATATGTATGGTATGCCAAAAATAATAAAATAAATATTAATATTAAAAAAATAATTGAACACAATGCTATGTAGATTCCATAAAAAACAAACACTTAAAAGAATGATACTTACCTGATCAAAACTTGTTGGTCGCACTATACTCTGACGCTCGATCGATTATGCGATTATACTGCGCTCGCGCAGTACTGAGTTCGGACGACCGGCCTATCGCATTTTGTAGTAATTTTGCAGTTGTATTTATCGTATCAAGTGAATAAATTCATGCTTTAAAATCATTAAATCTTTATTCCTCATGAAGTAACAATTGTTCTAGTATAAATTTTGCTTAGTAATATTATCGTAAATAGGAGTAAATCGCAATTAACTTTAAGCGATTTTCGAAGATTTTTAGGTTTAGAATAAGTTTTTTTCTATATCAAATCAAAGATATTTCAACTACGAACTATACGACTATAATTATAGGAGATAACATCCTCATTTTTTTATTTAATAATAAATAATACTTAGAATAGTAGTTCAATCCAGGAGCTCAAAAAAGTGCCTTCGCGCATTTTATGAAAATCTTCCTCTGCAATTTTGGATTTAATTAAAAAGTTAAGCAAAATTTACAAAAAGCGAGGCCGCTACGAACTAGGCCAATAGTTATCTGCACTATTCAATAGATCAAAATTGTTAATGTATATTTGTTTCTGAGATCAAGAACGCCATTTACGCAAAAATCACAGTCGAGATGTAATATGCCTCTTAACCATATTTTTTTTTCTAGTCTTAGATATGACAGAACCGCGTTTTTGGATTCATTGAAGACAGCAAATATTCTCTTTTCTACGCCCATTCCTTCCCTTATATATATAATATTAATCCTGATATATACATAAGTTTATTCAAGTTTATCAGAAAAAAGGATATTAAAATTTAATTTATCTTCATATTTATATTTTGACTTTAGTGCCATTTATCTACATATTGTTCTACCACTCCCCTGTTGTTCCTTGTTCTTCGCAAATCTCCCTTTATTTTTATTGTTCATATCGTTTCCTATTTTTTACCATCTGCAACCACCACAAATCCATTTATCAACTATCCATATTCCGATCCTTAAATCGATTAAGTTTAATCGATTTGCTATCCAATTACATCAAATGAAGCTTGCATATGGCAAATGGCAACATTAGCCGTCATGCCATAATAAAAGAAGAAGAAGAAGGGGTTTTTTGGCGGGATTTCATCGAGTGCGGTTGTCGTCTTATTTTAATTATTCTTAAATTCGTTCATAGTGGATATTGGTGTCGATTCTGGCGTGATTCTCTAAAGCTAAACTTAAATTTGACAACAGCGCATCCCTGTCATTCTCTATACAGAATAAAAAGGAGAGACTGATGTTAAATTTAGTTTTAAGTTTAGAGAATCACGCTAGAATCGACACCATTGTGAAATAAAATTGGTGTGGTTTTGTGTAACAACCGTCTGCGTAACTGAAGAATTAGTGGAATCGTTAAAATATACGCTATTCCGGTCAAGTGGACGTGAGAATTTTATTGTAGTGTTGACTACCTCACAGAAGCTTATCGAAAAAGCCAACTCGATACATTTCGTGCCAAACACTCCAAGAAACATTAGAATGCGTCACACCGACATTCTAATGTAAAAAAAAAGAAGATTAATTTAATTAAAGACTAGGCTGTACGGGCATTGCTCCCTTTGCCTTCCCTAAAACGGGAGAACTTCAACAAAAAAAAAGAAGAAGAAGACGTGACGTCAATTTTTATCTCACTTTCTAGTCTAGTAAATAAAAACGTTATTTGGAATTTGCGTGAAACTTTGTGTCTACGTATAGAACGGGTCAAATTTATTCTTCTTTTTCAGGTAATTTATTCTTTCCTATTAGAAAATGTTAGTGCCATTATTATAAACAAATGAAATTGCACTGTATTAAAATTTTCTGTAGCTGTAGTTAAATATGTAATTTTTGTGGTTTCCGCCTCAGCGATGATATTTGAAATGTATTCTAATGTGTATTTTTATATTGTGCCAGTATTGTATTCCATGGGCGGTTCGGAGAGTGTTAAGAATTAGTGTAGTATGACCTTCAGGCACAGAGAAGGTCATAGTATTGTTTATATAATTCTATAGGTGGTGTGCGGTTCCCATTCGGCGTAGGAGTTCTCGCGAGAGCCGATCGCATCGCACGTTCATTGTCCTGTCCTTGTTTACACAGATTTACAATATACAAAACATGTTTTAACATTATCAGTCTGCTTCTGTGAACACTATTTATAGAACCTTAAAATTTTAAAAGTGTACTTTAGAGTGTGATTTCTGCAAGACACAGTGTTTACCATTTATTTTGTTTAATCAACTTACAAGGTAAATAAACTATACTTTATTATTAAGTACAGATATGATTACCTAGGTCACATATTAAAAGTAATATTTTAGCAATTTTATTTTGTACTATTATTATGATAATAGATGGTCTGGATTTTTATTAATAAATATAACTATTTATTTTATTAAAGCATAATGAAAGCTTAAAAGCAAGCTAGATTTTCTTCAGTAAAAATTATTACCAGAAATTTTTTTACCTGTCTTGGGTATCAGTCTGTAATTTAATAATTTTACATTATTTGTTTCATAACAATGATACTGATATTTAAATAGAAAACAAGGAAATATATATACCTTCTTGAGCTTCTTTTGTGTGTTTGCATGTTAACAAAGTCATAATGAGTGTGCAGTGATTTCTTTGTTCAATGAGGTTTCTATAAAAAGATTCATCAGAATAACAGTAAGGTCTTACAATTTGGTATTGGTGGTAATGTAAGTTAGTTAAAGGTAAATTAGTAAAATATGCAATTTTTACTTCTAAATGAAATAATTATCCATAGACCACCAAACTTATGTACCCAATGAATAAATAATTAAAACAGTTAGACAAAATTTTAAAAAATGTTAACCAACATATACCTCCTCACTTAACCTAAGTCTTGGGACAAGGAGCCTGTAAAAAATCTAAAAAGCATCTGGATTAATATATAAAAAATACCAGTTTTTAAAGCAGTATTATTATTACAAGTGCTTCATCAAATGGTTGATGTGCATGAAGACAAAAGAAATAATTGGCAGTGATCATAGTAGTACAGATGTGATATTTAAATCTTATATTATTTATCGGTTCTATAACGTCAACTTTGTGTATGCTATGTAATCATCGAAGGTCAAATTATTAACTTTGTTTACGTTTGCAATATATTTGTAGTATAATATTTTGCAAATTTCTTCACTGCTAATCCTGATTTCTGTGCTACAGAGTTTCAAAACATCAAAAATTTTGTGTAAGTATTATACTATAAATTTATCCCGAACGTAAAAAAAGTTATTAATTTGACCTTCAGATGATTACATAGCATACACAAAGTTGACGTTACACAGTAAACGTCATCTAATCGAGTGGTTTGCCGGTATAATCAAAACCATTAAAAATAAATTCAACTGTAATTGGTTTAATAGAGAAAAAAAGACATTAATTAATTTTATTTTATTTTTCTGTTAAATCGTTTGTCCCAATCTTTAAATATAAGCAGTTTTCAAAAATTTTGGAATATACCCTATTGCATTCAAGAGTGAACTTCATTGAAATTTTTCCATTCCTTGTATCTGGTATACACAAATCATTTATTTAGATCATTATCACTGCTTTAAAATATATTTGTCGCTATGAATATGTCGCCACTTAACTGTCGCAACTCTTAAATTATGTGTGTTGGTTCTCGTCCCATTAGCTTTTCTTTTAAAGATTTAGAAATTAAATTCAAGTGTTCAATACGATTCGTAATGTATACTCAGCCATTGAAAAATTACTTTAAAGCAGCATAAGAACTTAACAGAAAAGCTTACACTGTTCAGAAAATGAAGAAGACATCATAGAAAAATTAAATACTAAAAATAATCAAATCAGGAATTTGTTTAGCCACAGTAGGTTTCTTATGCACATAAGTCTGACGTACGTTGGCGTACAACGAATAATATATTTTCTATTATTCAAATGTGTAATGATAAAACTATGATCTGTAAACGTTGGCTGTGATTTACATCAGGATCAGGGGAATTACTGAATTTTGTCCAAAAGTACTCTGTCACCCACATCGTTCTGTATCTATCCGGAACCCCACTCAATTTATATTAGAACGTACTAACTAAATTATTAAGAGGTTATTATACCACCCTTAATAGAGGATCCGATATTTCGTCGTTCCTGAAGTCAGCTATGTTAAATCGCAATCAGGAAGGTAGCTTCCGATTGAGGACAAGGATTGATTCCGACGTTCTAAATCTAATATATATCGGATACTAAATCGCAAGGGTGCAATCACATTTAGGACGCGCATCGTAACTCAGTCGCCGCTCGCCTACCGTCAAAAGCGCAAGATTTTCGTGTGCAATTGTGCACACGTAAAACAAAATGAATACAGAAAGGGAGGTTTCTTAAGTCATTTGGTTCTATGACCCTCATAATGTTTACGCTTGCTAGCTTTTGAATAATAAATAATCTTTCGCCCATCTCGTTGTTTTTCACTTTTTTATTTGTATGGTGCCAACCATTGGTTACAATAATTTTTTTTTTGATATTTGAGCCATTTCTTTTCACTCAACACATCCGTCACTTGTCACTCAACCTCAGATTCAGAGCTCTGAATCAGTGACCAATCAGGAGCTTCGGCAACTGAATTTCTTGTCCTAAATCTGACACTGAATATTGAATCCGTTATTCAGGATAGTTACCCTTTTTAAGCATAGGGACCAATGCATGCGGACAGGATTCGCATGCGTTCCTGTGAGGTGGATTACACTCTTCACATTCAAGTTTACTCAAGAAAATATGATTGCTCTTGCAGAAGAAAAACGCGAAATTTGAGTAAGTTAGGAGCTCTGCCTTACTGAAATTTTGCTTCGCCTGGTTGTACATTTAGTGACGGTGAGGGTTTCCGCGCACTGCCCCACCTCTTTAAATATGTTGATTTCAGTTAGGTGTTTAACAGAGTCGAAAGCAAAAAAGCCTCTTTCGATTTGAAACTCTGCGTCATGCGAAGTGTGCGATGTCCTTGAACGTTTGTTTACGCGCCCATAAATTGCGTTCAAAGTGCCACAGCGCACAACGCAATTGAGGCTCCGAATTAAGAATACACACACCCATACACAAACATCATGTACTGATGCTATGTTTTTAAGGCTCATGTACGAGCGGAGTCCAGTTGTTCCACCATTTTCTGGACCTTAATGTGAAGCAGGCCAATACTGACACGATACTGACATAAAGTAAATTGATTTGGTGTCAGTACAGGACTTTCTTGTCAGTGAATATTTTGAAGACAGGCCAGTTCCCCCGCTATCCGCGACACTCTTAGTCGGAGTGATTCATAAAAATAATTCGATGTTATTCTCACAGCGAGTTTGTATTCCGCATAATTTTCTAAATGAATAAATTTTCAAAGTAGGAACTTTAGTTAATTTATTGTCAGCGTCGTTTCTGATAAACAAACAGCAAATTGGAAATGTTTCTCTACTTAAAGATGTATTATGTATTTTAAATTCTGTCGGTACTGCAAACAATTTTTTCTTTCCTGGTAACAATAACGTGCTTGTACCTAAAATAAACTTTCACGACTACTGCACATGTATAGTGTGCAAGTTAGTCCTCAAAGGCAGTTTGGAAGGTATATTACCCTAGCGTAACAATTTCATAAGTCCATATCCTAAGGTATATAGTATTTTGTTGCTAATTTGTTGCTATTTTGTGCCGCAAGAATTGATTTTGTTGCTCCATGATTTCTCCGAAAAACGCCTGTTACGCTAGCGTAATATTACGCTAGCGAAACCACAGCGATAACTCGGAGGCAAAAGCAGTTAGAGAGATCAGATGAACGGCATATTTTGTTGCTATTTTGTTGCTGTAAGATAAGCTGGTTAGATATGGAAAAATTACCCCCCTTCATGGGGGGCTAACTACTCTTATTCTTAGATATTTCAGATTTTTCGTATCTCGTGAACTAAAGCAGCTAGCGGCACGAGACAAACTCCGTATTTTGTTGCTATAAGGTAGGCATGCTGGGTACATCATAATCACAACCCTTATCGGGGTATGACCAACCCCCGACCTCAAGACACCAGATAATTCGTATCTCGTGAGCTAAAGCAGCTAGCGACCCGAACCCAACGGCGTATTTTGTTGCTATGAGATAGGCATGCTGCGTACATCATAATCACAACCCTTATCGGGGTATGTATGATCTACCCCCGACCTTGAAGACACCAAATATTTCGTATCTCGTGAACTAAAGCAGCTAGCGGCACGAGACAAACGGCGTATTTTGTTGCTGTAAGATAAGCTGGTTAGATATGAAAAAATATCAGCCCTTCATGAGAGGCTAACTACCCTTATTCTTAGATATCTCGGATATTTCGTATCTCGTGAGCTAAAGCAGCTAGCGACCCGAGACCAACGGCGTATTTTGTTGCTATTTTGTAGCTATAAGATAGGCATGCTGCGTACATCATAATCACAACCCTTATCGGGGTATGACCAACTCCCGACCCCAAGACACCAGATATTTCGTATCTCGTGAGCTAAAGCAGCTAGCGACCCGAGACCAACGGCGTATTTTGTTGCTATTTTGTAGCTATAAGATAGGCATGCTGCGTACATCATAATCACAACCCTTATCGGGTTATGACCAACCCCCGACCCCAAGACACCAGATATTTCGTATCTCTTGAGCTAAAGCAGCTAGCGACCCGAGACCAACGGCGTATTTTGTTGCTATAAGATAGGCATGCTGCGTACATCATAATCACAACCCTTATCGGGGTATGACCAACCCCTGACCCCAAGACACCAGATATTTCGTATCTCGTGAGCTAAAGCAGCTAGCGACCCGAGACCAACGGCGTATCGGGGGTTGGTCATACCCCGATAAGGGTTGTGATTATGATGTACGCAGCATGCCTATCTTATAGCAACAAAATACGCCGTTGGTCTCGGGTCGCTAGCTGCTTTAGCTCAAGAGATACGAAATATCTGGTGTCTTGGGGTCGGGGGTTGGTCATACCCCGATAAGGGTTGTGATTATGATGTACGCAGCATGCCTATCTTATAGCTACAAAATAGCAACAAAATACGCCGTTGGTCTCGGGTCGCTAGCTGCTTTAGCTCACGAGATACGAAATATCTGGTGTCTTGGGGTCGGGGGTAGATCATACCCCGATAAGGGTTGTGATTATGATGTACGCAGCATGCCTATCTCATAGCAACAAAATACGCCGTTGGTCTCGGGTCGCTAGCTGCTTTAGCTCACGAGATACGAAATATCTGGTGTCTTCGGGGTCGGGGGTTGATCATACCCCGATAAGGGTTGTGATTATGATGGTCGCAGCATGCCTATCTAATAGCAACAAAATACGCCGTTGGGTTCGGGTCGATAGCTGCTTTAGCTCACGAGATACGAATTATCTGGTGTCTTGAGGTCGGGGGTTGGTCATACCCCGATAAGGGTTGTGATTATGATGTACGCAGCATGCCTACCTTATAGCAACAAAATACGGCGTTTGTCTCGTGCCGCTAGCTGCTTTAGTTCACAAGATACGAAAAATCTGAAATATCTAAGAATAAGGGTAGTTAGCCCCCCATGAAGGGGGGGAATTTTTCCATATCTAACCAGCTTATCTTACAGCAACAAAAAAGCAACAAAATACGCCGTTTGTTTCGTGCCGCTAGCTGCTTTAGTTCACGAGATACGAAAAATCTGAAATATCTAAGAATAAGGGTAGTTAGCCCCCCATGAAGGGGGGTAATTTTTCCATATCTAACCAGCTTATCTTACAGCAACAAAATAGCAACAAAATATGCCGTTCATCTGATCTCTCTCACTGCTTTTGCCTCCGAGTTATCGCTGTGGTTTCGCTAGCGTAATATTACGCTAGCGTAACAGGCGTTTTTCGGAGAAATCATGGAGCAACAAAATCAATTCTTGCGGCACAAAATAGCAACAAATTAGCAACAAAATACTATATACCTTAGGATATGGACTTATGAAATTGTTACGCTAGGGTAATATACCTCAGTTTGGAATTAAATGATGGTCCAAGAATTTCTTGCGTATATAGAAAAATGTACTTGGTCCTCACTTTTTTTTTAAAACGTTGGTTATTCGTTACATTCTACGAGATATTACAAAATTCATTTCAAAAGATTTGAGTGGAATACAATAATTGTCCTCGATTGGTGCGTCGTACATCACGATGTACGACCAACGTCATGAATTGGTTGCGCTTGCATCTGCGTTTTGATTCCGCATTTGGCTCTGCGGTTAATATTTATCGTGCATATTTAAACAGATACTAATTACAGACCCTGTGTAAATCAGCCATTAACTACTCACTGTAGAAACATAACACAACGTCGTAGTCTTATTTTGCTCCAAGCATTTGTATTGTGTCGAGGTTATTTGCTGGTGCTCTGATTCTACTTCTTGGTCCTCATATAAAGTTTATGTCGACGCTCCATTGCTTCACGCAGTTTTCCCGAATGATGAAAATCCAAAGACCCCTAAACTAAGCACGTATCTCCAATGGTTAGGTTTTAGTCATACTCTATATAAGTTTTGTTTCGTTCTACGCTGTAGGATAAAAGTTAAATAATTATAAGTGTACCTATATAACTACTATAGTAAAATTTACAGTAGTATAATCAACAATTTTAAACCTGCATAATAATGATTCAATCGATTAAATGCTCATTTTTTTGTGTCGGAAGCGTAATCGCATGTTCATTGTTTTATTATTAACAATAAAATTTAGTTGTGAATAAAGTTTCGCCTGACTAAAACTCTGGTTCACGCAACGTACCGTTTATAAATAGTCTTTAATATAGTATACCCCAGTGAACTTTGTGCCGACATAAAAAAAAATAGGTGTTGGTGGTAGAAGGGTGAAAATTTAGGGTTGTATGTATTTTTGTATGATGTATCATAAAAAAATAAAAACAGAAACAAATGTCCAAAAAAAAATTAATGAAAAATAGATTTTCGATTCTCAGCCCTACTGAATATGAATTTAAAATTTCACGAAAATCGGTGAAGCCGTTTTGGAGTAGTTGAATTACGCACACCGTGACACGAGAATTTTATATACCTAGTCAGGTCATAAATTCTGTCACATGTTTAATATAAAATAATTGAAACAAGTTTATTCATTATGTAACCATTTATATACCAAAATGAACTTAACAAAACATAGATTAGATAGATTCTTATAACAATAAAGTTTATTCAAAATGACTTCCGTGATTTTGAATACAGGCCTTCAATCTGCGCGGCCAGTAAGAACGAGGTTCATGTCAATATCGGCGGCTGCCTTAATCAAGGATGTCTTGAGTGACACCAAATTGGGATGAGGCTTTGAGCACGCCTTTTCCTCCAAGTGTTGCCATATCTTGTAATCTAACGGACTCAAATATGGACTGGAGGAGGGCCAGTCTTCGTGCCGGATGAAGTCGATTTCACGCGCCAATCTTGTGCGCTCTTAGCTCTATGAGCTGGCGCCGAATCTTGTTGGAATACCCAGTGCCTGTTATTGAACATGGTATGAGAAACAGGTTTCACAAGGTTCGTCAGGACTGCATTTTGATACAACTTTTTCACAAAAATGTACCTCTGTTAAGCCCCAATAAGAACCTCCTAACCATACCATGAGCGAGGATGGAAAATGACCTCATTGGACACGCGGAATACGGTTGCTCGCTTCTTCACTACTGTGTGCGTACACCTTATCATTTTGTTTGTTGTTGCTCTCTTCTACGGTAAAAATTTTTTCATCCGAAAAAGGAATTTCCCGATATTTTTTTCCCGTGTACTGCTTCAACAAAGCGCGGCATCTCTTCAGTCTCAGGTCCATTAGACGAGCATTCAAACGATGTCCTGTTTTTATTCGATATGCCCGAAGCCCTGAGTCTTCATTTAACACCCTTTTCACCGTGGTTCTGCTTAACCCCATCTGAAGGGGCAACAGTTTCTGCTTACTTTTGGGATTTCTTTGAATTCGCGCCTTTACAGCTTTTATCACTGCTAGAGTCCTGACAGACCGTGGGCGACCAGTTCTTGACCTGTCATCAACACTAGAGTCTTCATTGTATAGTTTGATGGTACGATAAACGAATCTTGGTTAGATTAAAATTTTTCAGTATGTCAAAAATTTGAATTGGCGCGTAACCGCAACGATGCAACGCAATAACTGCAACACGGTCTTCTTTAAGGGTCCACTCCATATTTAAAAATGAGTAAAATTCGAAAAATATACATTTTTTTTCATGAACAATTTGAAATTCGAATTCAATAAACTTTTTTGTGGCCAGCATTCTAAAAGAAAAGTTTTTACTGTGTGACAATACTTATGACCTGACTGTGTATTTATACATTTCTATCAGCACGAGAAGTGAAGCGGTGGTTAACGCAACGGACCGATAGATAGTCTATAATATAGTTTATATATATATATATATATATACACTTCTATCAACACAAGAAGTGAAGCAGTAGCTAGCTAATTCTTTATATTTGCCACGCTCTCGATAAGAGCAAGATAAAATGGTATGTATCTTAAGTTATTTTGATTTAGTAGCATTTTGTATGCTCTTAATTTTTTCTTCATGCTATATGTGAGTGTATTAATGACCCGCCTTAATTTCTTTGTTTTATTGAAACGTCAATGGGCAACTTAGTATGGAACAAATGGGCAACCCACGAAAAAAAATAGACTATCGGCATCTTTTGCGAGGTCGTCCCCGAGGTCTCTCTTTCTTCCGACCCAAGTTGATTGAACTGATTTAGCATCATCTGATGATAACTGAATATGTCTGACGAAGACTGATAAAATGTTGATGGTGATTGACTGAAGATTGACCGATCAAAATATAATGATGACAGATGGAACAAAGATTGATGACATATAAAATAAGTAAAAATAAAACGAGTATTGAGAAGTTTTTACCTTTTATTCTGCATGATCAATGTCTATAGGCGTAATTGTATCGTCTAAAAATTCGGTAGGTGCATTTATTTTATCTTGATATCTGGCGCAAGACAAAAAAAAAGCGAGTGTGCTTATGACCACACGACTGAAGTGGAACTTCTTTAGCTCCAATGATCTGAAAATCATAAACTTAACCTGAAGATTAGTTGATAGAAAAAAAACCACCTATCCGTGCTGGGTCCGTTATCATCCTTCAATCAACACTGGGTCCATTATCATCCACCAATCCGCACTGGGTCCGTTATCACCCACCAATCCACGCTGGGTCCGTTATCACCTACCAATCCACACTGGGTCCGTTATCACCCACCAATCCGCACTGGGTCCATTGTCACCCACCAATCCACGCTGGGTCCGTTATCACTCACTAACCCGCACTGGGTCCGTTATCACACACCAATCCGCACTGAGTCCATTGTCACCCACCAATCCACGCTGGGTCCGTTATCACTCACCAATCCGCGCTGGGTCCGTTATCACTCACCAATCCGCACTGGGTCCGTTATCACCCATCAATCCGTTCTTGGTCCGTTGTCACCCTCCAATCCGCACTGGGTCCATTATCACCCACCAATCCACGCTGGATCCGTTATCATCCACCAATCCGCACTGGGTCCGTGATCACCCACCAAGCGCTAGATTCATGTATTATTATTATTCATGTATTGTATTGTGACGAGTATAAATTGTTGCCCGATGAGTCACTGTTACGCGCCTAACGCAAAAATCGTCACACATTCGCCGGTTTACCCCCCAAGTCAAGCGTGCCTAAAGTAATTTCACTTCAAAAATATGCTATGCTGGCTATATGCGCGCAGCATTAAATGGTACGGCGGCCATGGATACAAGAGCAGTAGTAATCTTCGATACCCTCTACCCCCTGGGTTCCGAACCTGGGGGTAATTACCCCTCCGGGGGTAAATCAGCCATACTTCAGGGGTAACAAAGAACCTAATTATTTGGTTAAATCTAAATAATAAGAAAATACTATATAATAATACTACTAAATAGGAGCATGCGCTCCTTCTTGCTAGCGAGCCCGCGGGGTGCTGAGTGCGGGAACCGGGGCGAGATTTTCTCCTGATGATGACATTGTTAGAGACGAATATGTAGCGGCCAAATTGGAATTTCTTGAACTGATGATAACATCTTAAAGTCGGGGTAAAATCTGTTTTCCTAATAGGTTGCAGGGGTAGCAGTATTCGAAAGGTTAGGAAACACTGCTCTACCCTGTCTTGTTCACGGGTTCACCATTAAGTAGGTGTAGTATCGCTTGCTCTTGACATGGCGCGACTGCATTCTTCCGCGTATTAATATATTGTTATTAACTAATTCATAGTGGTGGTAGAGGTCAACAATGTATATACCATTTGGTCGCAAGTATTCGTGTACGTATGATCTAGCGATCCTTAAATGATAAGTGCCCAACGTAAATAGTATCAAATCTTCAGAAGTTAGCCATGGGAAGTTATCCATTGCTGAATTACTTGTATCAATTGATCATTTTATTCCCTTTTATTCCCATGGTTTAAAAAAAATATTACATAAAACTAAATGTGGTGGCGAGAACCAAAATGTTTAGTATTAATACTAAACATTTTTGGGTTCTGTAGGAAAAAAATAGATAACTGGGTCAAATTACGCCCTTAGAGCATAAATGCTCTAAGGATTACGCCCAATGACCTTTCCAGTAGGTAGTTACGCAGACGCGAATATTCAATTGTGTCACATGCCTAACATCTGAAATCAGTACTAGGTTCGATGTGTATTGAATTTCTGTTATTAATAGCTTTATCTCAGTTTACGCTCTGCATTGTACTTGTAGGTAGGTATGTATATAAAAACAATATTTGTTATTATTAATGACACATGACTGGTTTGTATTCTCTGCTGATATGTATGCTGACTAGCGCCGCGCGGCGGCTTTGTTTCCTCGTTTGCAAGGCGAATGTTGATCATACACACATCACAACACAACATTATCTCTATATCTGTGATAACAACTGCTATCTGAACGTAATATTGCGGTGGCTACTGTAATAGAATATCAACAATCATATCAGTTTATTGGGGGTCCTACTTCATATTATCTATTTGATTTTTGTTATTATGCTTGTGCGAAGTGTATCGAATTTTATCTTTTTATTACTCCTCTTTTTTTATAATACCTATCTGATTTCTCTATTATCGATCGTTGGGCTTAAAATATTTCTTTTTATGATAACAAGTTTTAACAAGATATGTAACCACATATTACTTGAACAGCGACAACTTACTACTTAAACCAAATTTCAATCAAGATACATGAAATGAAACTAACAGCTAACAGTTTGGTGTTGTGTGATATTTGTAGTAAATTAAATTACAGCATCTGTTCAGCACTTAATTACTTTAAGTGCTGAACAGATGCTTATGGTGACTACTCACCATCATTCCGCTTGAAGAAGTGGCTTGATTTGATCAAGCTATAATTCTTCCGTCAAGTGGCATGTCCTTCAGAAATGTCTCCCCACACACGGTCCGGTCAGTTTGGCTTTTCAAGCCTTTTTGATTAAGCGGCAGGATGGTGAGAGGCCACCATTGGACCCAACTAATAATATAACTTATCTATCCCACCCAAAGTGTGATATGAGGGGTCGTGGAATGTCGTGAATAGATATATCATCGATGTAATGCAATACCCTAATTATTCCGTGAACGAGTATGGATAGTATAGTTTTATTGACTACGGTTTCTTTCTCCACAGACAGAAATCAAAGATGAGTAAGCTGTGCAGACAGGTGTCAATCGAGTCCCCGGGGCCGACTCTGAAAGAAGGCTGCGTATTCAGCTTCGACGTACCAGTGCCGGAGGTGCCCCCTTGCGGCGCGCGTATCCGTGTGGTATACGCAGGCGCGTGTTACCGCGCGCACCGCACCCGCTCCGCCTCCATCTGCAGCCAATCGTCCGTCTCATCCGTCGGCAGCCTATCCGGCGAGATGGAGAGCTTCGCCATCCATTCCGCCACGCCTTCACATATAGGTCTTCGTGACGGTGCCTTATTCCCAGGCTACGAAGTTGCCGGCGTGGTCGACGCGATTGGAAAAGCCGCCGAATGTCCCCCCAGCATCAAGGAAGGGACCAGGATCGTTTTGTATCCATACGAAGGTGTGCCACACGGCTACGCGGATTACATTGTTGTCCCTGACTTCAAGTGCTTGGTGCCGGTGCCGGAGTCGCTTCCGTTGAGCGTGGCGGCTATGTTGCCGACAGGGGCGCTGCTAGCGATGAACACTGTGTTCACGGCGCGGGAGTGCTTGAACGCCGTGCTCGAAGGGCCGCAGAGCAAGGAAAAGGCGACGGTGCTGATAGTGGGCACGGGCGGGCTGGCGCTATGGGCTCTACGGATTGCCACTCATTATTATGAACGTGGACCCCACCACAATAAGATATCCATTACCGTCGCCACGCTCAAGGATGAGGGGTTCATCCTTGCCTCGCAGACTGACCAGTGCGTATCTTTATATTTATGTATATTATGGAGATACCATTATTTTTAATTAAAGGTTAATAGTTGACCTGTATGTAAGTTTTGCAGACTAAATATTTACAAATATGAGTTGTCTTCAATCTAAGTTATTGTTCGTTAGTTTTCACCAGGATTCAATATTTTTTTGTATTTTATGAAGAAACCAATAATTATATTACCAGCTGGTGCTCACGACTTCGCTTGCGTTAATTTTTTATTTTGTCATTAGTAAAAACTTTAATTAATTGAAGTTTTAACTTCGCTAGAAAAAACCGAAATTGGTCACAAATTCACAATCGATTCAGCTGTTAAAGCGTGAAAACGTAACAAACAAACACCTTTGCTACTATATCATTATTATTTGCGATTGTTGTGTACAATCAATACTCGTGGAAGTAGTGCTGCACTATACGGGTTTTAATGAGGTGATTGATTCCCGATGCAGGATTAAGGTGGTGCAGTGGAGCGAGGATCTGTACGAGAAGCAGTTGATCGAGCGCACGACTGACGCGTGCGGCGGACCCGTGCACGTGGTCATCAACTTCGGCACCACCTCGCGCTCGCTGCATCGCTCACTGCAGTGTCTCGCGCAGGTAACCAGCACCGATGACGGTGCGATTGTAGATCTTGATGTAGGTGGGGCATTGGAGCGAAAATCTGTACGAGAAGCAGCTGGTCGAGCGCACGACACGTGATCATGAACTTCGGCACCATCTACCGCTCGCTGCAGTGTCTTGCGCAGGTCCCAATCCAAAACCAAAAAACTAGCACCGATGTATTATAAGCCTGTAAGTTTCTATAGAAGAAGCTCGATGTCACAACTGGTTAGCTCGTTCCGTTTGCGATTGCGGATAGGATGGGTGACAAAAAATATTATTTCGAGAGCCAGGGAGAAACGTCACGCCGTTTATTATGGGTGCATTTGCTGTCGTTAGCCTAGGCCCGCGTGGTGGATACTCTTCTTTCACGCAAATATTTTAGCACTAATCTTATCTAAATTTGACTTTTCACCCTTGTACACGAATAATCATTCGTGCCAAGTCTATAAAAATATAATACAAACTGCTACAACAGCTATATTCACGTCTTGGCTACCTTAATATAAATAATGTCGATAGCATTGAATAATTATATGATTGTTTTGGGTTCAGGGTGGCGTGGTGCTGGTGACAGAGGACGTGGGAGAGAAGCTGCTGCCCAAGTTTGCTAAGAAGGCTGAGGAGATGGGCGTGCACATTATGGTGGTGCCCAACGGGTCCATCGACCAACTGCGGGACCTCGTCACCTTGGTCGCCAACGGAGAGGTGAGCTTCTTGATGATATGATTGTTACGGTCTAGTGTGGCGAGGACTGCTGCCCAAGTTAGGCTGAGGAGATGGGCGTGCCTATCATGGTGGTGCCCATCATGGTGGTGCCCAACGGGTCCATCGACCAGCTGCAGGACCTCGTCACCTTGGTCGCCAACGGGGAGGTGAGCTTCTTGATGATATTATTGTGACGGTCTAGTGTGGCGAGGACTGCTGCCCAAGTAAGGATGAGGAGAAGGGCGTGCACATCATGGTAGTGCCCAACAGGTCCATCGACCAGCTGCGGGACCTCGTCATCTTGGTCGTCAACGGAGAGGTGAGCTTCTTGATGATATGATTGTTACGGTCTAGTGTGGCGAGGACTGCTGCCCAAGTTAGGCTGAGGAGATGGGCGTGCACATCATGGTGGTACCCAACGGGTCTATCGACCAGCTGCAGGACCTCGTCACCTTGGTCGCCAACGGGGAGGTGAGCTTCTTGATGATATTATTGTGACGGTCTAGTGTGGCGAGGACTGCTGCCCAAGTAAGGATGAGGAGAAGGGCGTGCACATCATGGTAGTGCCCAACAGGTCCATCGACCAGCTGCGGGACCTCGTCATCTTGGTCGTCAACGGAGAGGTGAGCTTCTTGATGATATGATTGTTACGGTCTAGTGTGGCGAGGACTGCTGCCCAAGTTAGGCTGAGGAGATGGGCGTGCACATCATGGTAGTGCCCAACGGGTCCATCGACCAGCTGCGGGACCTCGTCTCCTAGGTCGCCAACGGAGAGGTAAGCGTCTTGATGATATTATTGTTTTGGTCTTGGGTGACGAGAACTGCTGCCCAAGTTAGGCTGAGGAGATGGGCGTGCACATCATGGTGGTGCCCAACGTTTCCATGGACGAACTGCGGTAGTTATAAACGAATAGTATAAAACATATTTAAGAAAGTCACGTTGACCTATAAGAAGTTAATAGTGTGCCTGGTTTTGGTTGCTTTTACGTCCAATATAAACTGGCACATAAGTACGTACTAAGTGAGAAGGTACGTATCAGTTTATAGTGGGCTATTCTGTCTACGTAATTTTACTCTGAAACGTTTAAACCAGGGCTTGAAACCGGTTTCGAAAATACCGGTAACTAAAGGTTAATACCGGTTTTTAGCAAAGGTTTCGTTCGGAGCGCGTCCGAAATGAAAACGGTGCCTAAAACCTTAATAAACCGGTTTAATCCAGAGCGATACGTGCACGCGTCGGCATCACTTGAAGTTTGTTTTGTTTGAACTAATCAAGCCACAACTTCTTAATGCTCAGAGATTGATGCATTTATTGACAAATTTGCGTCTAGTGAGTCAAGTTATTCATTTATTATCGATGCCGTCAGAAAGAGCGAAATGAAACCCTTTAAAAACCGCTAAATTGATTCAAAACCTATTTGATTTCGCTCTTTAGGAAAACCGGTTTTATAAAGGTTAAGGTCAAATGAGGTAAATTAATATCACAGGCGTGTTTATTATTGTACAAGGTTACTTAGAAAGTTACTGGATGCTGATGGATTTGATATCAATTAAAACTATGACAATTTCTTACAAAAAAGAAAAATCATTCTAAATTCGTATTTCCTCTTAGTAACCAGCAAAATTAAAATATTTTGTCATGCGGAAAAATGGAATAACAAAGAGACAGTTTCGCGCAAATATTTTGTACGATTTCAAATGTCGACTAAAACTAGAAGAATTATTTGAAAGACTTGGAATGGCGTTCATAGATAAAAAACCTTCTAAAGCGACTATTTTCCGCCAGATTATGCTGGCTGGCTGGTAAGAATTTAGGCGTGGTTAAGTAACTTTGGCAGATGAAGAAAGAAGGTAAGTTGTCGCATTGAATCGTAAGGTATATTGGGAATCGTTGGTATATTGGGCTTCATTTTGTAAACTTAAAATTAATAAATTAATTGTACTTGACAGCAGTCTCTCTTATTTATTATCTATCGAGCATGATAAAAATAAACTACTCTCAAGTTAAGAAATTACATTTTGGTGTTGGTGCCAGACACGCAATAACGTATCGTATCCCTAACTTATTTTATAAAATATGAACATAAGCATTAGTATCTTGGTACGACCAATATAAAGGAATGACTTCAAATGTCACAATTGAAATGTAATTCAAATCAATGTGTAGTTAGTTAGGTGGTATCTCCCAGATCGTTGTTGGGCTTGAGTCGAGGCAACAGACTAGTTGAACTTTGTATAGCGTGTGGGCGCGGCCGGCAGCCCGGCAACCATCCTTAAATGATACCACGCGTGTGTTATAGTGGTTTCACTGCCACAATTGGATACTTAACGATCTGAATTGTTTGTGCATTCATAACTTCTCTGCGTTATTGTTCCAATAATACCGTTGTACGTCACGTGCTTTATTGATCTACGTCAACGAATCACCGTATATTGGACTATGAGTAGGTATGACCGACGGACATCAATTATCGAAAAAGTGGGTAAAACTAAGTTTGGCAAAAAATATATCAGAAACCCAAACCGGTTTTTTAATTATCGACATAGTAATATATTTCGGGAACTTATATTTTTTCTTCTCACAATATGGTGACTTAATGATTCCATATTGAATGTTGATTACTATCAGGTCTTTAGTCGCACTCCCATGATTAAGACGAATCGATTGACGTATTCATCTTTAAAATCGGTTTACGCATTTGGTCTCTAGTGTGCCACAAAGGAACGTAATACATATATACACTGTTAAACATAACACGTGGGGTGCGCGTCGCACTTCGCGCTGCTTGCGTGCGTAGTCAGGGAAAAAATAAGATTTTTCTGTGTCTCCGTCCATAACTAAACATATAAATGAAGGTTTTTATACCTTCCATCATTTTTATATCCATTAAATTCTCAAAAGATACTAGAATCAAGTAAAGTGCGTTCGTTACAGATTAAACCGCCTCCACACTCGGTGTTTCCTGCTGAAGAGGCGCAGGAGGTAGTGCGAAAACTGTGCAATTCCGAGATACAAGGGCGCGCTATCTTGAAGTTCCACAACATTGACTAAATACACTCAATATGTGGTACCGGCGAGAAGGTACGATTATAACCACATCACTGAGGTATGATTATATCTAATAAAAAATGGGATCTAACATTGGCACGCCTGTTTGTGTGTACGCTTGAAAAATAAAGATACGCCATCCGAAATGCACACGATACAGACATTGTATCAGTATTTATTAATGTACTAAAACACATTATGAAATCGGGTTACTTTTGTCAGTTTCGTGGCGAGCACAATTCATTTCCGTCTTTTCATACATTTGATTATAAAAGTTTTATATAGGCCATGTATCTTAATTAAAATTAATTGTTTAATTAATTATATTTAAATTCAAAATTTAAAGGGTGGCTTGTTATAATTGTTGTAGCAACGTTTTAAATGCTTAAACGTCAAAAAGATTAAAACACAGCCCTTATTACAATTGGGAGACTATTATGGTGTAAAAATTAATATGTATGTATTGCATATGGATCTGCCATTATATCGTGTTCATATGTTTGTGTTTGCTAGGCGTGCGACCGGACCATATAAACTTTGGATAGAAATAATGATGTTATTCTATTTAGTTTCTGATGGCGACATGTGAGTTACACGACAGTGTTTTGTGCTTGATGTTTATGATTTTGTTATAACAAAATAATTGGAACCGTAACATATTTTAAAAGGGTGCCAGAGTCGATAAAGGATGTATTTAAACAAAATGAACACTATTTTGTCGATGAAAAATGGGTACGCAATTGCTTAGAGGGTTTTAAAAAAAATGTATTTATATTTTTAATTTTTTCTCAATAATTAAATTGATCAAGTTTACCTAATAATAATATTAAATTATTATGTAATAAGGGTGTTGATAAGAGTAGGTTTGATACAGGTTCGTACTGAAAGTTAATTGCAATGCATCACAAAATATAATCATAATATTATTATAATAAATTAATGACATAAGTTTGTATCAACGAAAACATATTATTTTTTTATCATATTCCTATTAGAATACGCTATAGATTTGCTTAGAGTATGTTTGCATAGCACAAGATGACAACGAAACCGTTGAGTCTTGAACATCTAAATTGTTATTCAAGTTTATAATTATTTAAACATAATTATTATGGTTACAAAAATATCGCTCATTCGAAGGAAAGGTTGGTTGATGATTCTCGTTTACGGTTAACTAGGTACGTCGATGTATATTTGCTCGACTAGGCCTATTTATAGTCAATATGCCTATTGCCTAGTTGTGCGTGGTGTAATTTTGGGGAAAATATTAAACATTTAACCCCTTATTAATAAACGCGGAAAAAGCTTTCTGTAGATATTTAGGTTAAGTATAAACTTCAACAGACTAGTTACACCGTGTTTTGTTCCTATCACTCAAATGCCATTTGTCATTCAATGAACAGAGAAAATACATGCAGTAACAAATCCAAGCTTACTCTTCGTTTATTAATAAGGGGGTTAAACTTTGTATTTTCTCAACGCTAAGGACCATCTGGTTAGATGTGTTGTTACACCATATTATTCATGAATTTTGTATGTAGCTGTCGACATGGAATAAAACGCTGTCAAAATACCAGTTGTGACAAAGATCACTGTTGTTTTTTTTTTTAAATATTATTAGCTCATAGGAAATCTTAAAAGTTTGCGGGATGTTAAGCTTGGTCCCGCTTCGATTTGAAACATGGATCGTCTGCTTTAGCATAACACGTATTTATATCTGTATTAAGTTGCATATTTATAGTATAGCAATATTTGGTGTGGTCCCTTTAAATTTGATGCTTAGGTATTGTAAACTACGATAAAAATAACAATTATTTTAGCAAAGGTTTGATCTAAAACCAGGTGTTTTGAGTTTTTGTTTGTTATGACGATTAAACAAGTAAAGAAATAGAAAAAGCTATTTTACATTTTATGTTTTAATTCTTCTTAACTGTGATTAGTTATAGATCTGCGTCGAAGGTAATTATAGTAGATGATGATAATGACTAAAAATATTATATGAACAAAACTGGAAATATTTTGATAAGCAAAGCTGTATACACAATATAATAAATATATAAAAAATATCATTTACATTGCTTCCATTTTAAAATAACACGAAGATATTTAGATGCGCTCCAAAGGAAATAAATACTGCCTAACTTTAATGAAAATTTGAATATGTGAATTTTTACTTCAATTTTAATCTGCCGCTGATAATACTAGTTTATAATAGACAGTGTAATTCATTAATATTCATACATAAACTTTTTATCAGGTCTGAAAAAATCATCGTCATTGGATAAAAAATCAATTTTTTGTACCATTTTTAGAAAACACGATTGAACTTTCACACAGAGACGTTACTTAAATTTTAAGTTTGATTAAAGTAGATGCTGTTTCTTTATTTGCGTCAACAATAGAATTGGATTAAACCTGTTCAGAAATTGCACAAATCTCACAATATCTATATTATTAAGTAATAATAAAATCCCTTTCGGGTTAAAGTTACCTACGTGACATTGGCGGGATTGTGGAAAACGCAAACAAGCCATTTTCATTTATAAAGATTCCACGTCACTTTGACAAGCATTTAATTTAATTGACGTCCCTGATAACATATAAAACTTTGAACAGAGATTAGTCGCCCAAAGTACAAATAATTACAATAAAAACTAGGTAGCACTAGCACTAATAGCCCGCCCTCGTTTCGCTTCGGTGTAGAGCTGTAGTGTAGGTAGATTTTTCTCACTCTTTAAACCTTCGCTAGACCTCCACGAACATTTCAAGACCAAGATAAGATTCAGCCGTTCTTTAGTTTTAGCGAGACTAACGAACATCAATTGATTTATATATATAGTATGAAGGCGTTACATTTTTAACAAGCGAGTGGTGTTATTTTTTTTATTCCATGTTATATACTTGATATAAGTATGTGTGTATATATCAAAGATATAGACCTTGATATATAGAGCACACCTAACACGATGATACCTTCGTCTGAAATATCTTAATATGTGCAGTGCTATTTTTCAGCAATTCTAGAAATCCAAAGGCTTTGCCATGTATTAATCTATTTATGTACGAGTTTTTAAGTATAAATAAGATAATTAAATTATGCATTAATCACTGAAGGTAGTAAAATAAGATTTTTTGAGATTATCACTGTCATACAAGCATGCAGTCAAGTTCTTCACAAATAACATGCTCAAATTTAATATTGTTTAACATTAAGGTAATAATTGAAAATGCTACAGACTACAACTGCAACGACTGTAAGCAAGCTGCACTCTAAGGCTCGTATTATAGAAAGATTCTCAGTGATTGATCTAGTATTGAGCATTGTTAGAAAGGGATGTCGCTATATATAGCACATAGCGATATCCCTTTCTAACTGTACTCAAAAGATCAACACTTAGTTGTCATCCTGTAGTACGGGCCTTAGTTTACGCTTTTCTAAATCATTTTCAAATCCAAATCCAGTGGATGCAGTTTTGTAGTCTGAAGCTTAACACTTAATTAAATACATGTATACAACGTCTTTATAATGTAACGCTTTTGTCCTAAAATGAATGTCAGATGTTTAGGATCAATACGCCCAGACATAGCCGGAGTAAAAAATAAGCCACGATCGCGTCGTTTCGTTTGTATGCAAATGTAAAACTACGACATCTCATTAAACTCGTGTTAAAATAATAATAATCATTTGCACATGTTTATCCTTTGCTTTAAGTTGTAATGACTCATTGACCTTCGAATAACTTCCCTTGTATCAGTGTTTTTCTGTGCTATTATGAATGTGTATGTATGTACAAGTGTGTTTCTTTACGAAATATGCCATATGTTTAATCAATCATGATTCACGAGATCTTATCGGAGTATAATTTAATTCAAATTGTTTATTACGGAATCAATATGAATGTATATTTTTTTTTTTATAATTTCTGGTTTTATTATAATAAATTGACGCCTATAATTAAATTCGTATGTTTGTTAAATTGGACATTAGTGAAGTTTTAAAGATTGTCATTTATTTACAATTATCGGTCCCGTTATGCCTCCCGCCCATAGGTGCGTTATGATCGGTCGATAGTATCGGAGGCGTTATAGCTATATTTTGTCATACTTTTATTGCGTCGTTATTATCGCAGTGTTACTTCGTTGCCGTTCTCATACGTAATATACTAAAAACAATTACCGCATAAACACATCCGATAATATCGACCGATAATAACGTGCCCATGGGGGGAGCCCTTAAGTTTTGTAATTGTTTACGGCTAAGCGTATTGGTGTATTGCCCTCTTAGAGATAGAACGCCATTGTTTTAAGTCTAGTCAAGGTTTGAGTTAGTTGATAACATGATTCTTTCCGCATCAGGTAGTCATAAGTCGATGTCAAATATTTACTAGAATAATGCGTTTACACTAATGATGTAATAATTTTGTTGATTGTACTTTATTGAATAAATGATATGACGTTTGTTTAATTCGTTGTTTTATTTGCATTGTGAATTCTGGACAGTATCTAATATAAATAAGGATAATGCAATTTTAGAAAAATGCAAAGGATGCTTCAACAAAACCATGGTGTATTTGTTCTTTCTTATTTCTAATATTGTGTGTTGTAACTATTTTGGGCGGTTTAAAAACATTAGGCATAACGTAAAATCAGGTAGGTATCTAACGCAGCAACTTGTACCTGGTCCCCCGTGGTTCCACTCGCTTAATAACGTAATAATATTATTTGGAAATTACGCATTGGCTTGCGCATATTTGGATTGCTGTAACTTCAATTGCAGTATAGAAATATTATTAAAATAAAACATCAAAACAAATATATTTATCACTTTAAAACAAACTACAAAAATTATAACATAGAAAATAAAATAGAAAATTTGGAAGCACCAGAGGAGCAAGCACAATTTTGATAGCTCCGTAATCATCAAAGTTCCTCATAAAACCTGACATGAAAACTAAGTAGCTCCCCCCTATCGGTCATAAGAACAAAGTGGCTCCCTCTATACAAAATTTGACGATACGATTAGGGATCTGTTCGTGCCTGGGCCTCAAGAAATTGACGTCAAAAATTATACTTAGCAAAAAAAGAGATTGACGTCAAAACTTCAAATACCCTTGTTGTACTAGGCGTAAATTGGCTATACGGTTGAGGACGGACGGTTTGTGCGTATATAAATAAAAAATTACGGCATGAGATTGACACCAGAAGCCCTTGTTGTGATTGACTGCTCTCAGGGTCTTGAACAGGTACAGCGAGCGTAGGTTATTGGGCTGCGGTGCCCTGTTTCTGGTGCCCCACACGTCGACAACGGACTGGATCTCGTCTTAGGTTCCGCCTGCAGCACCACGAGCACCGAAGATGTGCCTACGCCGCAACTCTTGTTGTGGTTGTCGGCTCTCAGGGTCTTGAATAAATATAGCGAGTGTGGATTGGCGGGATAATAGAGGGCCACCCGCCCTCTATTACCCCACCTATCTACGCTTCAATGAGGATGGCGTCAGAAGCCTTTATTATGATTGACTGCTCTTAGGGTCTTGAATAGGTATAGCGAGCGTAGGTTAGCGGGCGGCGGCGGAGACGGCTTGGGCTGCGGCGCCCCAGTTCTAGTGCCCCACACGTCCACGACGGACTTGATTTCGTCATGGGCCTCCGCCTGCAGCACCACGAGTACCGAGGAGGTTCCCACGCCGCCACTCTTGAGGGTGGCACTGGCGCCGCACGTGCGCCGCGCTAGATTATCCACGTGGATGTACCTGATGGTGTACATAAAGCGATAAGGATTACTTTCTCTATTGGTTTTTGACAGCTTTGTAAAGTATCGTAATTGTAAATGTTTGAATGTTAAAAGTTTGTTCTTACGTCTAACAGTGGCGCTGCTTAGTTTTCATAGACACTTTGGCTAAGCGATACGTTAAGGAGCTGTCAAAAATTCGTTCTTGGGCCTCGGTACAGCAAAAGATTAACACTACGCATGGCGTATGACCTGCCTGATAGTACGCGGCCACCATAGCATACAGATGCTTGCGATACCAAAGCTATCACTCGCGCCGTTGCCTACTCTGACCCGATCCCCTACTCCGTGTAGCCCTGGTACCTTACTCACCGACAAACACAAGACCACCAAAATGAAGAGTTGAATGTTATTTTACTATGGACTTATGTAAGGTGGAGATTACTTTCCCAGACAGGCGCTTAATTCGAGCGGAAAATCCATTATGCCCTAACTATCTTATCTTACTATTTATCCACGTGTTTGTACCTGATGGTGTACCCCGGGAAGTAGTTCTCGTACACGTACACCTGTCCCTGGGTGATGGACACCGGCCCGTTCTCCACTGCGGCAGCGTCCAAGTGTTGCAGGTTGTGTCTCCACTCTCCCACCTCCAACGGCATCTTGCTCCTCTCGCAGAACTGCCGCGCGTTGCATAGTGCTGCCAATACCGCTAGCAGTAATCTCTCCATCGTTATAGTGCCAGCACCGCTATTAGAATATCTCCATCTGTAATACGCCGCGTCGTCGTCTACTTGTCTCGAACACCTGCGTCGATGTTGTAAACTAACAATGAGCGCGATAACTCACTTCTTTTTTTCGAAAAATGAAGCACGTTATTTTTTCGTTTCGAATTAAAACACATATGCCTATATATTGTTGTGGTTCAGTAGGTGGTATATAACTATTTTTCAATAATTTATCGTTGCAGTAGTCAGCAAAATTTTTGTTTTTTATATACCATATGGTGTGAGTGTATAAAAGTAAGAAACTACACCGATGAACATTTATCAGATGGGTAATAAAAATTCTCCCCTATACCTTAATTGGCATATACCGTGTACATATACACTTACCGTGGTACCTTTTTCAAGTCCCTTTATGTAGATTCACCTAGTTGTATTCAGCGTTGTAATCACTTGAAACGGTGGGCAAGAATTGCTTCATATTAATTTATTGTGATGTATTCCCGACCGACACAATAGTGCCGAAACCTCAACTGAACTGTACCTACAACACCGTATCGTGAAGTTTTCCTGATAATGCTGAAACTCTATCAGACGCTGTACTTGTACATCGCACCCCTTAAGTTTTCTCTCAACCTCAAGAGTGCCGAAACTTCAACTGGCGATATGTATGTACAAGTAGTATCTCATCATTAATAATAAATAAATAATTCCAACACTCACACCAATTAGCCTAGCCCCAAAGTAAGCACTGTAGGGCTTGTGTTATGGGATACTAGGGTAACTGACAGAATACATATACACTACATAAATAAGTATATTTATATAGAAATACCTATTAAACTCCATGACTGGAGTACAAATGCTCGTATTCATCACACAAACACCTGCTCCCACCGGGATTCGAACCCGGGACCTCTCGAGTAGGCGACATCATGAAACCGAGGTAAAATAAAAGACAATGTTACAACGACACCATTTATTTAAAATCAAAGCTGGTCCCTATTATAGTTTACATTGTCGACTTAACTATCGGTAAGTGTTGCGGAGTGCGCGCACCGACTCATATTATATTGTATACAGGACCGGCAAGTACCTATTGTATCATCATCGAGCCAATGAAAATCAAATTCAATTCTTTGGTGCTCTATACAAGTCCGAAATATGCAATCCTGTTTCCTTTTCAATATTAATTATAATTTTAAACTCTCTATTCACGAAAAATACATAAAATATAATAATAAAGTAACTTTAAGAAGTAATAACATAATATTTTATACATAATATCACCTATATTCATACAAAATACCTACATTAATTGAACGAAGGTGCAGCGGTAAACGATAAGCAATCCCGGTAGCAGATGATATGTGGAATGTATTGATATGTTATATCAAATTTACCGAGTATAAAGACGCTCCTTGTACTTATTGGTCATCACCGTACAGCTTTAGCTTGCTGATGATTGGTACATTACCGGAATTACTTATTCATATAGTTACACACGATTTTGGTCGAATGTGCAATACTCCGTTCACGTCTACTCGATTGTAAACAAGTACCTTAAGACCCCTTTCACATTTTTTGCAAAAAATCGTAATTTTTGAGCGCCTCGTTTACCCCCTTAGAAAAGATTTTGACTATTTCCAACAGAAGTAAACAGTAGATTTATACTTCCTATTGTAAGTTAATGTAGAATATTTGCAATACTATTTTCCTTTTTTGTAATCGTTCTACTGCAGCTAGTTTACGGAAAAAACGATAATATGCACAACTTCAAACGCCTTAATCTCTCAATAATGTTCAATAAATTAGATCAGAAATATGTTTCTGTTGTAACAAAATGTATTAGAATTTTGATTTTCCATCTCATTAATTATCAAAAAAAAAAACATCTAACCTCCTTGAGTTTTCCCAATAAATAAGGCAGGTTTACCTCGTATTTTGATATTGAATTAAATAGAATTACTATCAAAAACTTTCATAAAACTAATCTATCATCATTGAACTACTGAAATATGTGTATATTTTTGTAATTAATCATTAATAATTACTTTATAAGACTCGAAACATCACCCGTAAAATGCAATATCGTCGGTGATATTCTGAAACCGCGGAACTAACAGTGTTCAAAACCGCGTATTTACAAAACTAGCAAAATCGAGAATTCGCGGGCTTAGCTTCGTTGTAGTGATTGGCTGCGTTCTGGATGATGGCTGGGCCTATTATCCAATAGGAAGCCGTGAAATCGAATGTCTTTTAATCCGCGTAACGTCAGGTGATTGTTTATTGTGCCCAAACCGCGTATGCATGTAACTTGCTCCAGTAGCAGTCCTCCAGTTCGACGAAACCGCCTGTGATTTAAGAGCTACAACTTACGCATCATTTTTCATTTATTATTTGACTAAGTTATTAGAAGAAGATTGCAGGGATGTTGCCATCTGGACGGATGGCTGCACTGCACAGAACAGAAACTCAATAGTTTCTAATGCCCTTATAAGATTAGCAGTAGACAAAAATACAACAATTACAGAAAAGTATCTGGAAAAAGGTCACACTCAAATGGAGGTTGCCTCCGTACACTCCGTAGTGGAAAGAAAGCTGAAAAATGTTGAAATTTTTCTTCCTTCTCAGTATGCCTCAATTACAAATGAACTCAGGAAGCATCCCTCTCCATACCAGGTTTTTCAACCAGATTACACCTTTCTGCATTACAGACTACAGTCTAAAAGAATACCAAATTTATGATTCCATTCGTCCTAGGCGTTCTGCTGGCGATGATTGCGTAGTGGGCCTGAGGGTTTTAAAGTATAATCCTAACGGCACAATAGAGGTTAAAAAACACTTTAAAGATGATTTCAGCCCACTTCCTCGGAGACCAAAACCTATTTCAGCTGTAGTTATAATGTACCTCCCCTGTATTCATCTAGACTGCCTATATTAGACAGTAAGTATCAGCACTTACAGCAATTAAAGAGTGTGATACCTGCAGATTGACACTTATTTTACGATAATTTGCCATTTAAGAAAAAGTAATGTTTTATTGATCTCATTTTTAGGGTTCCGTACCTCAAAAGGAAAAAACGGAACCCTTATAGGATCACTTTGTTGTCCGTCTGTCCGTCCGTCCGTCCGTCTGTCAAGACCGTTTTTCTCAGGAACGCGTGGAGGTATCAAACTTGGAGCTATGAAAAAATCAAACTTCTAAGCCAAAGCAATCAAAAGATACAGCCATTTATGCCGCAAATTTTCGAAACTCGCACGGGAATCAAAACCTACAGGGTACTTCCCGTGAACTTAGAATCTTGAAATTTGGTACGAAGTAACGTCTTATAGTACAGATAAAGCAAAAATTGCGAAAACCGTAAATTTTTAATTACATCATAAAATAAAAAATATTTTTGAATATTTTTGTACGGAACCCTCGGTACGCGAGTCCGACTCGCACTTGGCCGGTTTTTAACAAAGACCTCAGTGCAATTATTATTCTACTCAGAAGTAATATTGATATACGTTTTGTTCTTCATTTTTAGTTTTAACTGTTAATTAGTAAGTACCCTCTCAACAAGGTATGTTTAACACACTTAGCTATAAAGAGCTATTTTTTTTAACATTATGGGGATTTATGGTGTTAATTTCCTGTATATTGTTGATTACCTAATGTACCGGTGATAAATATGTGCCAAAAATTAAACTCTGAAGTTAACTTAATAAATAATTATAGGATGTTGATTGTATTATTTTGTTTTATTTCGGCGGACAATTCCGCTTAAGTGACATAAAAAAACTCATTTTGATTTTATTTGAGATAATAAAACCGCGAAAGTCGATTTACTAATTAATTAATACATATTTAACATAACTAATGCCTACAATACCAAGAAGAATATTATAATTTGACAATTTAAATGTTTAAACAATAGAAAGTCATGTGATTCAGTAAATATTATGTTTTTCTTCGTTCCTGTAAAATTCACTGCAGCTACCTTACGCGGTTTTAAACACTGTTAGTTCCGCGGTTTCAGAATATCACCGACGATATATACTAGTGCAAATCTTCCTACGCGCCGATCAGTACGGCAGCGGCGCAATTTTGTAAAAGGGCTCTTTAAGTGTGAGACAATAGATAATAGTGGAGATATGACATTCAAAAGTATAAATCATTTAAAAATATAACGTATTTATAATGCCGAAATCAGCTGCAACTTATAACCACTTAAAGACTACCATCGATTTGTTATTATTATATAAACGTTACCAGACGAAAATATTATTTATTATATAAATCTGGCTTCCCTGTTTTTTTAAATGCGTATCGTTAGTTTCAAAGGCACTTTTCGATAAATTTTCTGTGTTAGTGAAATGTAAATAATTTAATTACTAAGCTCATAACTTATACAAATTCATATAGCTTTTTTAGTTTGATTTAAGAAAATTTTGTTTTATACACATATACAATGTTTATACAATTTTAGAGTCACTGCTGTCATAAGAACAAATACTAATCACAGGTACTTAAAAACACTAAATATTTTCATTCATAATAACCCTTTCAATGATTTGATCCGGTGTTGTGTCAATACCTATTGCACAATGAAATTATTAAGATAATACATTTTTTGGAAAATTTCTTATAAAGTACTATGATTTTATAATAAACTTTTATTTTGCTTATAAAGACATAAAATAGTCAACTTTTTTTTAACTATGAATGTAAACTTGTTACAATAGGACAAACGCAAAAAATCACAAATCAACAGTAGAAAAGGATTTTTGTCGATGTTAACACATCAAACAGTTCATTGATTTAAATCATTTACAACATATGTTTAGATAACTTTTTTGTTGCAGAGTGAGCTATCTGAATTCGAGAGATTCGTAGAGATTTTTCGTTTTAAAATATACAAAATATTCGAGTATTCTGCATACTATAATAGAATACGTATAATATTCATCGTAAACGTAAATAGTAAGAATAATTTATGAATGTCCATTAATTTTATATATTTTGCTCAAAGTAGGAGCGGGACGGAGGATGAGCAGCGCGCTACTGTGCGCCACTCGAGGCACTATCTACCTAACAAAGTCGATATTTACGATATGTGTTGTTTATCCTACAACTACACAAAAAGGGGTTAGAAGGGTGATCATAGACTGTTTGCACGGGAACCGATGTCGCCGGCTCGCCCCCACTACACTTCCACCTTATAGATAATAGCCAATCAAACGACGCGACATCAAACAATCAAACGAATTAGCGCTTCCGCCCGAGAGCAACGACGCAGCCGGAACCAAGTTTTGGTCAAGTTATGAGCATTTGCTCACACATAACTATGACGCGCCTGCCCCCGCTATAAGGCTGTGTTCTGTGTACAACTATCACTTCATTACTAAATTTTGTATCAGTTTTGTACAAACGTGTCTGAAGGCATAACGAATCCAACACGACATAAATCCGGTTTCCATGTTATAATTCATAGTGATTATAGATAAATATTTATATACCATGTTATGTGTACATAACATGGTATAGGTATACAAATAGTAATAAACTCTAAGCGGGTGAACACCAATACATAAAAGAAAGGTTCTTATTTTTCAAAAATTTTAAGCAACAAGCCGATTATACCCTAGAGATCAACACTCCTAACACAAAATATATATTGCACACCGACACGTACAGTCTGTTGATCCGTCATATTAAACAGCTCAATTTACATTCCTTATAAAAATGGACTTGATAATATATCTAGTTATAAATTCATTTACAAATATTCAACTTTGCTTGTTTACAATTAATTTCTTAATATCTGTTATTCAAGGCACAGTGTCGCTTGTATCCTACAATTTGTTTCTACACATAAATGAAGGTATGGGTATATTTTATATAGATGCACTTTATAATTTGTACAGATCGTTAGCTGTTTTCAATGTACGAGTAGATGGATTGTGAAAGGATATAATAAATGCTATTTTTTAGTATAATTATGTATTTTTTTATGTAATTTATAATCGAAGGACTGGTAATTATTTATTGAAATAAAGTGAAGGTTTAAAGGTTATAAATGTAAAGTAAAGAATAGGAATCAGCACAGATTTATAAGAAAAACAGAATACAAGGAGTCTTAAATTGTTTGCTTCACAATCTTTCGAAAACTGCCAGCTAGCTGTAGATAGTAATTTACCGACCTTAAGTCATTGTAAATCGAAGTGTCCGTTCAAAAACTATTGACATTTACAATCTCACTAGATAGAATATAAACTGGCGACCTGTATAAATTATATAGCGACGTATTTATAATACGCAAGCTCTCATACTAACTAAAGCATGTCTGACTGACCTCCACCTTGCCTGATTTAATTATTATCACACTTTAAATTTCAAGCTGATTTCCTCCAAATTGTAATAACACGTATTTTATGCCGGCATACTTAATTTGGCTCTTCGTGTTTGCTATTTGTCATTTTGACAGTTGGTTGTCCTTATCACACTCTATAGACAATGAAAAGGTGAGACTGTCGTCAAATTAACAAATAGTTAACGCGAATTGACAATTGAAATGTCTTATTAAACAATGTCGCAATCACCTTGCATTCGATTTCAAGGTGGAGCGGAACAGAAAAATAATGCTTGTATTTTATGTACAATATCAGTTTTTTAGTTAGTTATTATAATATAATGTTGTGAAATATTTTTTTTACAATAAAACAATATCTGATTGATACTTAAGTAGTTCAATAATGCATTAACATATTCTTTTTAATAAAAACACTTAATTTATAGTGTATATAATAGGCAAAGAGCAACGTTGGGAAATCTTTAACACTAAAATCTATACTAAAATAATGTCTGCGATAAAGAGTTAGTTGAAAGAATATTTTTAACAAGAGTCGAATGGATGATGTCTAATTTTTTTTATTCGTTTATCAGGTAGATTAACAAAAAAGTATTGGACACATATTTTTTCTTTTTTCACATAATAAAAACATTGTAGAGATATATTGATTTGAAAAGTTGCATGACGTCACGAGGCCCTACTGCCAAACTTTGACGCGCTTTATATTTGTCATTTTTTGGTTGATTGCCCAAAGAAAAAATACGTGTCCATTATTTTTTGATCATCTAAGTGACGGACTAAATAGAATTTCGTTTACTTTACCCCGTCATCATGCTCAATACGAAATCCAAACTAGATCGTGATTGCGGAAGCGAGATATAGTTATTCGTTTCGTAGATCACTATTTCACTTCGATTATCATTTTAGTATAGAGTCAAATTCGCTCACTTTGTCAACATCTAATGCTGCCTAGTTTTGAATGTAAGCTGCGACATTACCACATGGAGCAGTTATTTATTTTTAAAGTTATTATGTATATTGCGGTAGTGAGATACATTTATTCGTTTCGTAGATCACTATCTCGCTTCGATTATCATTTTAGCATAGAGTCAAATTTGCTTACTTTGTCATCATCTAAATCTGCCTAGTTTTGAATGTAAGCTGAGACATAACCACATGGATCAGTTTTTTTTAAGTTATTATGTATATTGCGGAAGTGAGATACAGTTATTCGTTTCGTAGATCACTATCTCGCTTCGATTATCATTTAAGCATAGAGTCAAATTTGCTCATTTTGTCATCATCTGAAAACATGGAGTAGTCTGGTTTTTAAATAGTCAATATGTTTATGATGTTGCTACTATTTTCGAAGATTTCAATTAAAAAATGTGACGATAGCAATACTACCGCTGCGTGATATAAGTGACTTCCTTTCGAATTCAGTCAAAGAGTGATACTGTACGTACAATCAGAATAGGTTAGCGAGAGTTGGAAATAATTTTGTTAGACCTCAAACGTGATCTATATGCACTACTTAATAAAAAGAATTAAATTCCGGTACTTTACAAAGCTATTCGTATTTGTTATTTATAAGATATATATATAGACAACATTTTCTCCATTTTACTCCCTATAGAGTATGATAAGGATAATCTGCTGTCAAAATATCAAATACGACAAGTCATATCGCCATAATACTCATAATTATGGAAAATCAAGGCAAATATGTCCAATTCTTAGGTAATAAGGATTGAAATCTTTGATCATATCGATGTTTAGTTATTGTGCTAGCAAGATTTCACCGTGTCGGGAGGTCAGCGGCGGCAGCGTGTAGACACCGTGTGGTCGCCATGTGGACGGCGTGTGTGCGCCTACATGTGGATGGTGGCGGCGGTGTAGCGCGCCTCGCCTCGCCGCCAGTTCCATTGAGACGGCCGGTACTGTCGCACACAATAGACACGGCACACATTACGATATGGAAGGAAATCAGAAATCAATATATCTTTATTCAAATTGGATGTAAAGTACAACCTCTTTTGATTCGTCCAAACATTTTATTTTTCCCTACCACTCGTTATTGGACATATTTTTTAGCTGCGGAGAAAAAAGAGCGAAAAAAACTCCACTACATTAAAAGTATAATGTAACAACATTTAGAAATCATTATGTTGTGACAACGTCAATACAATCATGATTTATTTAATATAGAAAACCTTTTGGAACGATTGGAACAGTTCAAACCCAAGCATTTTTGTCTGTAATATAATGAGGCACTTTGTAATAAGCTTTTTTAATAAGTGTTTTTTTATAATATCTTTGAATTTATTTATGGGTAACTCTTGGATATTGCTTGGGACTTTATTGTATAAGCGAACACAAAGACCTTTAAATGAATTATTGATTTTGTGAAGCGTAGTAGCCGGTAAAGTTAGTTTATTTTTGTTTCTTGTATTAAGTGTGTGAACATCACTGTTTTTAAGAAACAAATTAATATTTTCTTACAAGTAATAAATTTTCGTATATGTATTGTGATGTCATTATGTTAAAGTCAATAAACGTATCTCTTAACTTAGACTATAAATTGAACGAATAGCTCTCTTCTGCAGCACAAAAATGCAAATTAAAGGATGAAAATTAAATGTTGTTAGTTTTATCTCAATAGGTTGCTTAAAGAGCACGTCCGCGCCGCGTGCAGTTTTATGTCATTTCATAGAACAGAGCTACGACGGGAGACCCGCCTCACGCAGCGCAACGCAAATGAAACTGCACGCGTAACGAAAGTCCGCTCTGTGTTCCAGCTTAACGCTGCGCACGCCTCAAGTGTGATATTTTTTAAAATAAAAATCGTGTTAACGTTTACTTGTTAATATGAGACAGCGATAGAATCTTACAAAAGTAAAAATTATGAAATATAGGAGTCATATTGTTTTTTTTCTTCTCTTCGAATAGGTTAGTTGACTCTGTCAAATTGCACTATACAAATGTTTCTTTCCTAATTTTTGGTATGACAAACCTTAATACATCACATTCACTTCATAAAATTAGAAGAAGGCTGTAGTAATTCAAGTTGAAAAATAGTTTTTTAGTCTATGTTTTTTAAACACTATAAACGCTGTCCACCATGATTGTGACGACACAAAATTTGTAAACAACTATAAGTCATTGTAGTGGAACTGTGATGTCTTTCGTCAGAGTAAAATATATCTAAAATTTCTTATATCTTGTAGAATAGTTTGCGTTTATTGGTTTTGTTGACTAACTTAATGCTGGACGCCGGATTTGTGAAAGCAGAAACCACAAAAATCTTTGTCTTAGTAGGTTCATAACCTTAATAACTGTATTTTTAAACTTTGAATATTATTCAATGTGAACTTACATTGAAGTGATCTTTAAAATAACAGGATTTAAGCAAGTTTTAAACATGTGTTCGTCTGTAGGTATGTGTATTTCTCTAGGCAATTTAAACCACAACTTTTCTGGAGCCTTTAACGATGTGTTTCTACACTCTCGTATAATACAATTATGATAATTACTAAACTTCTGGACACATCTATTGGCCCACTTTGTATTTTCAGTTTCGTTTGGTCCTAGCTAAAATTTTTTATTAGGTCGAGCAAAAAGTTTTTATGCAGTTTTGAACCTGGCACATTCACAATTTCATTCAATAGTCTTTTTTTGAATTTCAACACAGAATTTAAAGTAACAAAAGACAATTTGGAGCCTGTTTGTTGATATCAAACAATCGCATACTAAGAAAACTTGGTTTTATTGGTTTACTTGGATTTAATTCTTGAAAAAGTGATTGATATCTTTGGTTTTGCAACAAACATTACTTATTCTTAACATTAAGGTGAGGTTCTATCAATAATCTATGGATACTTCACCTGAAGTCGCTGCCCAAGCTGTGGCACTTATTCAGGCCGGACACAGCCAAAGAAACGTGAGTGCTCAACTTAATTTAAGTCGATCTGCGGTCCTAGAGACTGGCGGCTTTGTTCGTCGCCAAGGAAGGCCTACGTAAGGGAGAGCGTTTCGCACAATGCTGCTTTGAAGAGAGGGTTGCTTATGGCGGTGGCTCATGGACTGTCTGGGGCGGTATATCTGCGAGCGGCAAAACTCAACTTGAGGTTGTTACAGGACCACGGCTACCAACATTAAATGCTGAAAGGTACATTCGTGAGTGCTTAGAACCTCACGTGATACCATACTCCGCGTATGTGGGCCCAAATTTCCTTTTTATGCATGATAATGCAAGAGCCCATGCGGCCGGCATCGTGGAATATCTTCGGGATGTGAACATCACAGTTATGGACTGGCCAGCCAGAAGCCCAGACATGAACCCCATTGAGCACATGTGGGACGAGCTAAAAAGACGTGTTAGGGCTCGTCAGCCAGTTGCCCAGACGATGCAGGAGTTGAAAACTGCCATAGAAGAGGAATGGGAGATGGTCCCTCAAAATTTCATAGAGCGGTTGATAAACTCTATGCCTAATCGTATGAGAGCTGTGGTAGATGCCCATGGAGGCAACACGCGTTATTAAATTAAACCTTTATTTGATAAAACATGTTTTTTATTCAAAAATCAATTGCCTTTAACAAGGCGCATATCCGACTTGTTAGGCGTAGCTCCATGTCGTATGGTATTCTGAATTCAAATTTAAAACAATACGATCGAAAAAGATGGTAAAATGTATCAGGTTTAAAACTGCATCAACAGTTTTTGTTCAATCTAGCAATCATATTTCGGTAGGGGCCATCGAAACCTAAACTCTAAGGTGGGCCAATAGATGTGTCCAGAAGTGTATATTTATCATGAAATCTATTAGAAATCATGTTTTATAATATAAATTCAGATTCAAGTTATTTCCTACGTGCTTCCGAGTGTTTGTTTACAATTTTGATGACGTCACAGCATAGATAATTTATACACTAAAATGGCCGACAGCGTTTTTGTATGTTCATAAAAAATCTTTTTTAAAATTATAAATTTGTGGCTTTCTAGGTCAAAAAAAAAATTACAATACATTTAATATTTTATTCGGTCTAATAGAACAATTATTAACCATTTAAAACATTTTTCCAAAAAGTGTCAACTAGCCTATTGTTAGCAAGGGAAATAAAACTACCTACAGTGGGACAAGGATCTTTATGAATGTGGGTGACACTTCAGAGAGGGCGCCACTGCCTACGTAAAAGACTGCGATGGAGAAGTATATGCAAAGCTCGACATAGATAGCGCTGCAAAAGCTTGACCCAAACCACAGCCGAATATTGCAGCTGTCCAATTTTGAACGTGTTTTTTTATTGTTAAATATATTAAATAAGTGGTGAAAATGCATTCAACATGGTCTGTAATATAGCTGAAAACAGAGTTGAAAAGGAGAGGAGCATCTATGCAAGGCAGAAAAGCTGATCTAGTAAAAAGGTACTCTTTCTATTATTATGCTAGAATGCTCATTCTCGGTACATAAGATACATTTTCCATGATTATTTTAATAATTCATGGATCTCAGTAACTTTAAGTGGGCTCATTAGTCAAATCTATCTTATTTTTGCATCAGTCAGGCATCTCATAGAGTTAGGTTACCTCGGGCGCAGTATAAACATTGGGTTTTTTTACTGTCTTGAGGCATAAGACCGCAATTTTAATTTTGGTGCAGTTTTTTCTGATCAAATTAAAGACATCCAGATGCAATTACCTGCCCCAGATACATACCATGATGTAAACAGCAGCTCAGTTTTACCGCCCCTTTCAAAGAAACATATAAAATTATATTTAAGTCGGTAAGCATGCAGTTTTCTTACAACAACCAAGAACTGCACAATGCGGCATTTGTAGTTTGTTTAATAAAAAGCTTAAAAATGAATATAAGCTAATAGGTATGTATTTGATAGAAGTTTTGGGTTAAGCGATTACAGCGCCCCTAGTGACCAAATTTTGCAGATTTCTTGTCCATTGACATACAACATATGACGTTTACAAAGGCGGCGGCGTTAGTTCCAATTTTCGCCACATTTATAAAGATCCTTTACGCTGGTGGTGGAAAAGTGGTTTTGATGCTAAGCGAGTATTTCCTATTCTTAAAATATTCTTTGACAAGATTTTAAAGAAAGGGGATGGAAAATTGTGGGCCCAATGCAACCTTAATGCAGTGAGTTCTGGTTTAAAATTTTGAGCTTATTTCTTCATTCTCAAAAGCAATTACTATATCGATTATTAGAATTAGGAAAACGATGTTCAGAAAACAGATTATCGATATTATTATAGCTGAACATAGAAATTACCATTAAACCTGACTTTTTACTAAAACAAATTAAATGATAACGTAAACTTGAATGTATATTTAGCGATAGTCATAAATAAAACGAACCTAATAAAATGTTTTGATATTTGAAAAAAATATGCACGAGTATCGGTCTGTATGGACTTGAAATTCTTTGCCTTGCTTTATGAAATTATAAAAGAGTATTTTGGTTAAGTTCTCTTTTTTTCTATTAGTTATGGAGTTATTCTAAGTCGAAACAGCATTTCATTTTCACCTTGTGCATTCCGGCGTAGGTTGCAAATTATTATTATTATTATATTATTATTAACACTGCTCATGGAAAAAGTTACACAAATTGCAGTGTCGGTCTCATAAAAATTCTCTTATTTTGCATTCAAAGAATGTGAGTTTGTGGTGTGTGTTTTATTTACCTTGATAAACAGCTGTCCGCTGCGAGTATGCGGGTTTCTGAACGCGTACAACGCCCACGCGGCGAGTGCGAACACTAGTGCCACACATGCGCAAGCCACCGCCACGCCGCCTACCGCGCTACCGCCTGCGCCCGCTGACTGCACCGGCTCGCCTACCACGCTAGAAGGCTGCGCGTGCGGCGCATCGGAACCTCCCACCGCCTTCCGCTCCGGTAAGTTCACTACACATGGGCACATTAAAAGTTGATACAGTAAAACCCGTTTAAAACGATTTCACAGGGACTCAACCAAAAACGCGTCTTAAGCGGGAAAGCGTATTATGCGGGATTGTAGGATAGGGAAATTTCGAATTTGTATGCACAATATTTAAGAATAATGTATGTAATAAAAAATGTAGTGTATTATTATTTATTATTACGTTATTTAAATTAATCACTTATTTTAGTTTGTCAAAAGCCATTAGCAATTACAAGATTTTCAACATAATTTAACTTTTGGACTGCGTCTTCGCTTTGATTTAAAGAAGACAAAATCTGAGTTGACTCATCTTCTACTAGATCATTATCACTTAGGGCCTCTTCTTGTGTGTTATTCACATTCTCATTGAATTTAATGCTGCTGCAAGAGGTAGTATGTGTTGTACGCGTTAGCGATTTAGGCGTATTAAACGGGATGACGAATCGTATTAAGCGTTAAGAAATGTATGAAAACATGTCTCAAGTTGCAGGTACTGGCGCAAAATGGCGTATTATGCGAGTAATAGTATTAAGCGTGACATATTAAACGGGTTCTACTGTATAACAATAGTAACTAGCACCGCCGTGCCGCCTTTTGCGCTTCCGCCCGCGCTCGCTACCTGCACCGCCCCGCCTACCACGCTACAAGACTGCGCGTGCGGCGCCGTTTTAAGATCGCACGGTACATCTAGACTTGATATAACCACTTGTCACACTGGGTTGTCAATGACCTGTATTTCATTTTAAAGATATTTAAACTTAACAAGTAGTAAAGTCACAGTCATTGACCAAAATTAAAAGTAGGTGACCAAAAATTTATTATCCTGAGCGCTTCTGTCCTTCCGAAGGCACGTCAAGCCGTCGGGCCCGGCTGCTTTTGCAGTCGTTAGCATTCAATCCGTACCGAGTGGGCGTGGTGGGTCAGGGCCCAATCTCTCTATTCCTAAAGGCCTGTGGCCCAAAGTGGGGAATTACTAGCTAGTTGATGATGATAATGATTATTTTACTCTTATGTATGTTTCATACGCAGACTGTATGTAAACTAATTTAAGAGAAAAAACATAATATATTTATTAGTTAAGTACTTAAATGCTTTTACACAACAAATTAGTATATTCAACAAAATGCTATTAATGAGGCGATCTTTATTATACAAACCTAACTCATAATAATAACCATATTTGAGTGGTTTATTCATTGACATATTTGTTAATTTTATTACTCACAAAAGACATTGGGAACATTTAGCCCCACTTATCAAAAAGTAGCGGACACGAACTAAACTTATTTCAATGGATAGATACAATGAGGCGTAAAGAATTTAGTAGAGATTGCAGATTTATAGTGCTAAGGATTCTATAAAATACAGTGGGTAAAGTGTTCTACGACAAATATTGACGAAGTTATGACCAAATTACTCTAAACAATTTTTCGGTTGGCCGCGTGGTGACTGTAACGTCATAGAGTTCTAGCGCTCTGGCGCGAGCGTGCGTAGAGACGCTACAAAAGTTCGACCCGAGTGAACCACGATCTAGCTCTGTGACGTCACACGTTTCGGCCGCTGGTGAATATTGGCTGCCATAAAATAGGAACGAATGAACCGATTTCCATGATTTAAAAAGTATATTAATTAAAAAGCTTATTAGATCATTATACTGTTAATTTTAAGTTGATTTGCTGGCCTAGTATTGATCCTCATTATCTGTTATATCCCTGTGCAATTTTTAATCCTGTAACCTATGGGAATGCTGAGAAAATGGGGTATTTGTATCAGCGAAGCCTGTAAGGCCCTTACGGCCAACCCATGAGTGGTTTTAGTCAGTAAAGGTCTGACATGGGCATGCAGTCCTGCAGCCGGCTGTAGGGTATCCACGCGGATTTCACATGCATGATTAGCGAGACATCGTGGTAGATTGATGTAACCCAATATGCGTACTCAATATTACAATAATAATTGCTATCCGAATTGTATAAAAACGCTTGATAACGGAGCTTAATTTGCCTATATTTAAAAGGAAGCTTAAAATGTAGCTAATATCGAAATGTTTTTTTACTCAGTTAGAGAATATTTAGAAACGAAAATTGACTTAGAATAGAATAAATAAAATGACATAAGTACCTTTAAATTTTAGAATTAAATTAAGTTTGACATTCACATGCCCTTTCGTTGGCAAAATTGACGAACTATATGAAAATCACCACCAAAATGTATCTACTCTGTTTTGTGTGAATAAATAAATTTCATTTCATTGTACTCACGCGTCCTGACATCGGCGTCGTGCACACTACGCCCGTCGGTGACGTAACCGCCGCCCGCTTGCGTCTCGTTGGAGTGGTCTGTTGAGTGGTCGACTACTACGGTGCGTCCTGTACCGCCAGTTTCGGCCGGGCAAGACGACGCGTTCTTCACCAGCGTGTGCTCACAGCCTAAACACACGTAAGTAACATTTAATAGATATTTATGATACTGTTGTATAATTAGCGGTATCAAAACACGGATGTGGGTTTATTAAACACGGTGGGGAATAGTATCATATGAGTGTTTTAATACCTAATTATAACAGTTGCATACCAGACTACCTACACACATGATATGAATCCTCTTTAGAAGATTATGAAACCGTGGGGCATTATAAAAACTGAAAATTAATAAAAAGTTTCGGCACTCTGGTAGTACACGCGCGCGAACGACAATGTTCTTTTTTTTTCAAATTCATAATACTACGTATTGAGCAGTGAAAATTGTGCCTGTCAGATGAGTAAACCCTTAGCGCGGAAGGGATTAAAAAGCGAAGGAGTGTTATGGTTTTCTTTCGGATATTGAATGTTTTAATGTTGGCAATAAGCTAACTGTATTAGAATCTTTATTAGAGGTTTTAAAGCATGGGTGTAGATAAAGTATAATATATACTTCCGGACACATATCTCGGCCTTCGGCATTTTAAGTTTTGGCGGCCCCGAGCTAAAAATAATACATTGAGCAAAGACTTTCTTACAGTGTTTTGAAGCTGATTGATTTACCATTTTTTTGTGTGTTTTTAGAAATATATCATTATTGTTCAACCTAACAAATAAATATGCTACAGACAGTCGAAAATAATCACACAAGTGCGCCGATGGATGTGTCCGGGAGTGTAGTTTGAATTAATTTTAAGGCATTATTCAATTGTTATGTTACCACCCCCCTCTCACGAGCAAACTAAGCTGATTAATAATTAAATTTTATTTTATTAATATTCTAAGAAAAAGCAATAACATTAAGCTAATACGCGAGGAGGAGTTCTAATTGCCCATATGAAATGATAAGAGACAGGAATAATAATTTTATATATTTTAGTCAATTATGTAATTTGATTATATTAATATGATAAGCACAAAAATTCAGAATACCTATTTATCATTCATATATGTTTAACTAATACTAAAACAAAATCATACATACAAGTTAGTTTGTGTATTTCAGATGACCCAAGTTGATTTGCAATAAAATATATAGGTAAACCAATAAACTTACTTCTAAGCGTCCAGTCTTGCTTGTTCCTATCAGTGCCGCCGGAGCATTTCTTAATGTTCTCGCACCACGCGCACTGCACCAAACACAAACAAATTGAAAACATTGCATCATAACGATGCTCCCAAACTGCTGTTTAAAAAATGTTAATAAACACTAGTAAACATTTTATTACAGATAATCACAATGTTAGAAAATGGTTTCATGTTAGGTAATGTAAGTAAACATCCCTAAACAAAATGTTTAGTTAACAAAATGAATACATTTGAGTCGTATAGTATCAAAGGTGGCAAAGTAGGTAGATTTTCAAAAATGAGATACGAGTATGGTAACACAGGAAATTTAAAAACAAATCTTAAATATCTCTCATTCAGGATTACAGATGACCGTAATACCCTTAAAAACTTGATTGAAAACACATTTTGGTTTCAAAGGTGGCAATCTTTCTCATCTCGCAATCATAACCGGCCATATTTTAATTTCAACCAATCAGAAGAGTTTCTGCAGTAGCGTCGCAACATGGCAGAAAGTGCAGTTCAATACAATTTTGTCTTGAGTTTTTAGTGATTTAAAGTTTCTCCTTTAGTGTTTGATACTTATCATGGAGCAAACTCCAACACATACCACTAATTACACAAGCAAACGAAGAAGGAATAGCGATACATGGAAGGAATGTGATAAAAAGCTAAGATAATTTCGTGATATTTACTAGGTTAGGGTTGGCACCTATTTGATTTTACTATGTAATTATTATTACACGGATAAAAGTCACGAAAAACATTATGATAATAATATTTGTTGATTTGTTTTGATAGTTATGGGTCCTGCCCATGGAATATTGTTTCACGATTGTTGTTGTTGTTACATGATTTTTGTTATCCTTTTCTCCTCATAACATTACCGGCAGGTATTATCCATATACTAATATGTATGTAGAGATATAGTTTTTTTATTTAAAATTTTACTAAATAGGAGCGATAGAACATACAATAGTCCATTCATTACAGTTATTTCAATTTAGTTGATTTTATAATAATATTCCATTGTCGTGATGGCAAACATATAGTATGATGTCTGCGGTGTGTGCCCAATTGCAAGTGATCTACCAAATAGAACGCAAGACTCTGGCTTAATAAAACCTGGTCTTTAGTTTCTTATTATTAATTGATTTTTTATGTTTAAGTCCATGTCATTAAAACCATAAAAGGAAATTTTATTCAAAGATTGTGTGATTGCATAAACTAAAGTTTTGTTTTTACTTCGAAATAATGAAGTTATTTTTTTTTATTTTAAATAATTTGATTTTTGTTTCAGTTTATTATTTGTTCTTCATTTCTGTTCATTTTCAATAAAAATATTAATTAAATATAACAAACTTTAATTTTGACAACCCTGTTCATACTCGGCTATCATAACATTTATTCCGCGTCAAAGGCGGCCATATTTACCAAGCTTCAGTTCAAAATCGGCCATTCTAATAAATTACTATATAATATAGTAATTTTATTTTATTTTTATGGTGCCTATGGTTCATTTTGCGCAATGATTTTATGTTCATTTACATTCATCATAACTACAAATCGTAGTGAAATGTCAATAATAAAAATCCTCCCTTAAATACGAGACTAAACAGTTTTTTTGGATTTGCCAAATATTTGGTTCGCCCTACTTTGCCGCCTTTGATACTATACGACTCATTTGTTAGTAAAAATCTGTGGCACTAAACATAAGTTTCTCTAGCTCTTTAAGTTTGGCGCATCTATTTAGCACATTGTCTTTTTTAAACAAAAATTAAAATCTTATCCAATGTGAAATTCTTTTTTCCATTTTCATGTAGATGCCTCGGAACGTAATTCATAATTGAGAGCCGATGTCATGTTTCAAATGTTATAAATATTTTCCATTAGTGTAGGAGCACACAATACATCTAACAATTCCTTAGAGAATGTAACAAGCCGTTGGTCCCGGCTGCATATGCAGTCGTTAGCACCTGCCAATCCGCACTGGACAAGCGTGGTGGATCATGGCCCAGTATCCTATTCCATCAATAAGGAACGCCTGTGCCTCAGCAGTGGGGGCATTGTAAGCTGGTGATGACTGACAAATAGTAACAAAAAAAAAGTGATATAATATAAATATAATATAGTAAATAAAAAAAAGTAGTGTGTTATGGTGCATTGCAGGGGTAGGGCACGCATCGTACCGGGAAGCTGTAGTTGTGGTCTACCTATTCCATTCATAGGGAAGGCCTGTACCCCAGCAGTGGGGACTTTTTTGTGGGTTCTGGTGGTTATTCTCCGGAGCATAACCAAATACCAAAGAACAATTATTGGAACCAGATTAGTCAGATGGTTTAGCAGTTAGCCTTTGGGTGTTCGTTTTTGGTTTTTGATACGAAAAACATAGGAGACTTTAATAAGTTACATTTTATTATGTAATTAAAATAAATTAGTGTGAGGTAGTATAATATTATTTCATATTAGTTGCTTTGATTATGTTAGCGGTCAGTCAGATTCAGTTTCTATAAACGCAGAAGAATCGTCATGTGAATAAAAAATAAGTAATATGTATAAAAAAAGGTTTTATTATTGTCCTTATTTTCAGAATAGGGTATTTGACAGTATTAAAAATAAAGTGCCAAATGTTAGTATCTGTATTTAGAATGAATATTGGTAGGGGTTTTTACTATTTTTATAGAACAAATATTCATCATTCGACTAAAAACCCACGAAAAATGTAACAGTTTTCTTATCTGTCACGTAAACGAAAGCGCCTGGGATTAGAGGAGCCTAAAATGACGCCCCACAACAGAATGATGTACATATATCTACTTTTCTTTTCATGGACTCCACAAACTTTAAATTAGTTAGTAACGAGTGATCATTATCTAAAACTTGTCAAATACCCTATTGATAGGGAGTTTTAGCTTTTTAAAATACTAATTATATTGTTACGTGTCGGGATGGGGTTCGAAATTATATGCCAGTTCACGCTTGACAGTTCTTTATTCACTACACAGTTCACACAATTAACACACAATGTTAATTACAAAACACTCACTAAACACTGTATTTCACTATACAAGTCTATAAACAATCTCACTTGAACACTTTTGTTGCACTTAGATCGCCTTTGGATTCGCTCCGAAATCGCTGTTGAAACTCAACTGTCTAACGGCGCTAATCGCGATATATACGCCGATCGACGCATTCTAGAAAGTACCTGTTAAATTGAGAATTACCTAGCAACCGCGAGTACGAAATACCTACTTATAGCTACGCAGGTAACACGCATAACTTGTAAACAAGTGCAGATGTCGTTGCACTTTCACCCTTACGTCGCACTGCATAAGGCTCATTTTAGAATGAGCCGCATTACTCGACTTCTATCGCGACCTGCGGTGATCTGGCAAATTCGATCTCTGGCACTTTCGCGGTTACGTTTCTAGAGCATTTGTGACACTGCCCCCCTCTTAGACATGTTCGTCCCGAGCATCATTGCTGCCGTTATCCAACTAGGGTGACTCCCGGTATCTTCTACCACGACACATTGATTCGATGACTCCCCTTCCGGAAACTTGACTTCTACCAATGTCTCTGACCTCGCTGGTAGGGTAACCGTTCTGGTGTTGTACACTACTGGCGGAGGCTTTCCTTCTAGAAATATTTCTTGATCCGGAAAATTCAATACTCCTCTAGCGATATCCACCACACACTGCTGTGATCGTAAGAAGTCCAGTCCGAGTATACAGTCGTCCGTTATGTAAGCGACCAAGACGCGTTGTCTGTAGATTTTATCTCCTAGTTTTAATGTGATATCTGTCACTCCCAGGACGGTCACTGGCTGGCCTGTAGCTGTTTGTAATTGACACGCCGATTTTGTACCTTCCCACATAATTGTATGTTTGAGAAGTTCCGGTCGTACGATAGTTTTCGATGCCCCAGTGTCAATTGTAAGTTGTGCCGGCTTGCTGTTTATTTCTCCTGCGGTTACGAGACTATTTCCATCACATGCCTGTGACACTCGTACTGTGGGGGCTAAATGAAGTCCAGCCAGTGCCCGCCCCGCAGCCCTGGCCCCGATTAGTTTAACGTCTTCCCTTTCGTCAACTTGAGTACCGGTTGACATCGCCCGGTTTCTCCGCTGGACCGGACAGTTAGTCCTGATGTGCCCTCGTTCTCCACATCCATAGCACATTGTAGTAATATAAGTTATTTACGGGATTGTTACCATGTACCTTGTTTTTAGCGAGTTTCCGATATTTCGGCACTGTTGCAAGCGCCATGATCACGGAGTAACTGAAGTAATTGCGGGTAGGCTGTTATTGGCAGACATATCGGTCTACCCTCCGACGAAGTCTTTTATTGCGACCCGTACCACTGTTCACATTCTCACTATTCACTCGAAACTGTTCTCGACACACAACACTTACAGTATCGGATCGCGACACGACACTTTTTTGATTATTTCCGGTTTTACACATACGAACCACAGGATTCCAGACACTCGACAATTTAAACCCGTCCTCACGATTGAAATTTTTATGTTTTGTTATTTCAATCGCTTCCCTGACCAATCTTGGTATGTAGTGGCGTTCTGTCGAGATAATCTGTGGGTTATGAAACTCAATCCAGTGGTTAGAACCAGAATTAATCAAATGTTCCGCGATGGCTGATTTCTGCGTATCGTTGTTCTTGATTGCTTTTATGTGTTCCCTCATTCGGCATGATACTGTTCGCTTTGTTTGGCCAATGTACGAACTGCCACAGCTGCAATCGATCTTATAGACACCAGGTTTCTCCAAGGGGAAGTTGTCTTTAGGAGACCGTAGGTATTGTGAAACCTTTCGCACAGGAGTGAAGACAGTGTTTAGTGAGTACTTATTCAGTATGTTTGAGATCTTGTCAGTCACTCCTTTGACGTATGGTAAATAAACAGGTTGTCTGTCTACTCTGTGTCTCTGGTGTCTTAGTTTGTGTCTTGATGGAAAATGTCCCTGGTATCCATTACTCTGTAAGACTCGTCGTACATGCTCCAACTCTTCTTGAAGATGTTCCTCATCACACAGGTCATATGCACGGTTCGTCAGTGAAGTCATTACAGAGTTAAGATGTTTAGGGTGGTGATGCGAGGAGGCGTTGAGATAGCGGTCAGTGTGTGTTGATTTGCGGTAAATGGAATGACCAAGCGAACCGTCATTCCTCACCCGAATCTTCACGTCCAGAAAGGCCAGACTTCTGTCTTCTTCGATCTCATAGGTAAAGTTGATTTTAGAATGGATATCATTTAAATTTGCCAAGTGAGACTCGACATCATGTTTGTTACCTCTTAATATACAGAATACGTCATCGACATACCTCTTCCACAGTTTTATTGAATAAAGCGAGTGTAAAACTATTGCGAAAATCGATTCGTAACTGTAGGTACCACTTGGACAAAAGTCAGTGTGAATTATACGAAATCCATCTGAAGTGCAGTGAAACTCTTTCGACAAGTGACTTTGATATTTGCGATCGTGTTACATACTTACAAGCTCAACGTACCAGGGAACTAAGCGCTAAAAAACAAGATCGTAAGTTCGAGTTGTTGTTACAAAGACAAAAGCCGGATGCCCCCTACCACAAGAACTCACTACCAACTCGAACGGTAATCAATATGTCAAGTATTGAGTTGTCCGACGCTGCACAGTCTGTTCTTGAAAGAGGGATGAATTTCGCCGTTACACCTAGACGTATTCCCTATGAGGAAGTGATTGGGTCAGTTGAAGAGTGTGTCATACGTAATAAAATACCAGCAGTAGATGCGGATACGCTCAGGCAAGATGTCGCTGTGGTGTTACGTCATGCGAGGCCACCAAGACCGAACATTACTTCTTCCGAATCAGTGGCCTTGAGAGATCTTCATAAGAACAAGAATATACTAGTACTAAAAGCTGATAAAGGGAATGCGACAGTCATAATGAATACCAGTGAGTATGAAAACAAAATCCAGAGTCTACTCACTGACGAACACATATACAAGAAGGTGAATTACAACCCAACGGCAAGGACAGATCGTTACACTCGCTCACTCATAAAAGAATGCGCCCACGCTTTAGACGATGACATTGTCAAATATTTATTACGTCCTAGGAACATCCAGCCTCCAAAACTATATGGTCTGCCGAAAATCCATAAGCCAAATGTGCCCCTACGTCCGATCGTGAGTCAGATAGACTCACCTACATATGAACTGGCCAAGCACGTGGCAAAAGTATTGCAGCCGATAGTGGGACGAACGTCGTCGTTTGTGAAGGATTCCCGCCATTTCATAGAAATCTTGCACCAAAACAAGGTAGATGAAAATCAGTTGATGGTCAGTTTTGACGTAGAATCGCTGTTCACAAATGTACCTGTGTTGGATTGTCTGGAAGTGGTGAAGGTGAAGTTGCAAGAAAATGACATCCCGAAGGAATATGCCAAGCTGTTGCATCATTGTTTGTCGACGAATTTCTTCATATATCAGGGTCAGTACTACCTCCAAATAGATGGGGTCGCAATGGGCAGTCCCGTGGCTCCAGTGGTTGCCAATATATGGATGGAGCATTTTGAAGAAAAATCCTTTATCACCGCACCCACAGAAATAAAACTATGGAAGAGGTATGTCGATGACGTATTCTGTATATTAAGAGGTAACAAACATGATGTCGAGTCTCACTTGGCAAATTTAAATGATATCCATTCTAAAATCAACTTTACCTATGAGATCGAAGAAGACAGAAGTCTGGCCTTTCTGGACGTGAAGATTCGGGTGAGGAATGACGGTTCGCTTGGTCATTCCATTTACCGCAAATCAACACACACTGACCGCTATCTCAACGCCTCCTCGCATCACCACCCTAAACATCTTAACTCTGTAATGACTTCACTGACGAACCGTGCATATGACCTGTGTGATGAGGAACATCTTCAAGAATAGTTGGAGCATGTACGACGAGTCTTACAGAGTAATGGATACCAGGGACATTTTCCATCAAGACACAAACTAAGACACCAGAGACACAGAGTAGACAGACAACCTGTTTATTTACCATACGTCAAAGGAGTGACTGACAAGATCTCAAACATACTGAATAAGTACTCACTAAACACTGTCTTCACTCCTGTGCGAAAGGTTTCACAATACCTACGGTCTCCTAAAGACAACTTCCCCTTGGAGAAACCTGGTGTCTATAAGATCGATTGCAGCTGTGGCAGTTCGTACATTGGCCAAACAAAGCGAACAGTATCATGCCGAATGAGGGAACACATAAAAGCAATCAAGAACAACGATACGCAGAAATCAGCCATCGCGGAACATTTGATTAATTCTGGTTCTAACCACTGGATTGAGTTTCATAACCCACAGATTATCTCGACAGAACGCCACTACATACCAAGATTGGTCAGGGAAGCGATTGAAATAACAAAACATAAAAATTTCAATCGTGAGGACGGGTTTAAATTGTCGAGTGTCTGGAATCCTGTGGTTCGTATGTGTAAAACCGGAAATAATCAAAAAAGTGTCGTGTCGCGATCCGATACTGTAAGTGTTGTGTGTCGAGAACAGTTTCGAGTGAATAGTGAGAATGTGAACAGTGGTACGGGTCGCAATAAAAGACTTCGTCGGAGGGTAGACCGATATGTCTGCCAATAACAGCCTACCCGCAATTACTTCAGTTACTCCGTGATCATGGCGCTTGCAACAGTGCCGAAATATCGGAAACTCGCTAAAAACAAGGTACATGGTAACAATCCCGTAAATAACTTATATTACTATAATGTTAGTGACCATGAAAGTTTAAAACAATACATAGCACATTGGTCCACCTCGAGGCTTGACTGCTGCAACAACTTCTCGCACTCTGTGTGTCTTGTAGTCATTGCGTACTGCTTCTACCTCCAGGGCGTGCGCTAAAGCAGCTTCCAGGGTCGTGTGATGTCCCAATCGAACGGCCGCTCTTACTTCGTGTTCTCTCCACACCATCCACAAAAGCTTGAACTACAATGTCTTTTATGGATGTTTTACTGGACGCATAAGCGCGACGCACCAATCGTTCACTCTCCGTGGCCCACTGCTGCAATCCCTCTCCTGGTTTCTGTGACCGTTCTTTTAGTTGAGCTCGATACACATGTTCTAGGTATCCCCGTAACGAGCCTCCAGAGCTTTGAGGAGAGTTTCCAAACTTCGTTGATCGGCTGGTACATTTTCCAATATCAGAAGAGCATCCTCCCTGAGCGCAAGAGTGAGTGCGGTCAGGGCATGTTCGTCCTCCCAGCCGTTCCCTTTGGCTACGACTTCAAATTGGTGTCTGAATGCCGTCCAAGAAGTTGTACCATCAAACGCCGGTACTTTAAATTTAGGTGCAGTGGTATCCGCGGTTGCTATGGCGGTGCTGATGACCTTGGTTTTTTGAAGATCTCTTAACATTTTCATGGACCTGTAGAGTCTCCTTGCATTCGCCTATGCTCTCCTGGTGTTTGCTGGTACGACTCTTTACGCATTCTATTTCGTCTTGGATGCCGCACAAAGTGGTTTTGAATGCTTCAAATTTCGAGTCAATAGCAACCTTCACGTCCTCCTTGACATCCTTGAGCGCTTGTTGTTGACTTTCCATAGCTTGGCGTTGACTTTCCATGGCTTGGAATTGACTCTCCTTGACGTCCTCAATAGCTTGTTGTTGACTCTCCTTGACGTCTTTGATAGCAACCAACCAACAATGTCAATAAGTCGAGCGCAGGCGCAGTAGTTGTAGCGGCAACACCACTGTGGTGAGCAGTCTGTGGTATGCTTGAATCTTCATCAGGGGCCGCTACTCCCGACTCCCGCGAATGGTCCATTACGGCCTGCCGCCGAGTGCGTACGCCTTCGCTTCCGTCGCGCGGTGTGACTGGCATGTCACTTCTGTCACCAGTTGTTACGTGTCGGGATGGGGTTCGAAATTATATGCCAGTTCACGCTTGACAGTTCTTTATTCACCACACACTTCACACAATTAACACACAATGTTAATTACAAAACACTCACTAAACACTGTATTTCACTATACAAGTCTCTAAACAATCTCACTTGAACACTTATGTTGCACTTAGATCGCCTTTGGATTCGCTCCGAAATCGCTGTTGAAACTCAACTGTCTCTGCGCGGCGCCAATCGCGCTTATATACGCCGATCGACGCATTCCAGAAAGTACCTGTTAAATTGAGAATTACCTAGCACCCGCGAGTACGAAGTACGAAGAAGCACCCTACTTATACCTACGCAGATAACACGCATAACTTGTAAACAAGTGCAGATGTCGTTGCACTTTCTCCCTTACGCCGCACTGCATAAGGCTCATTTTAGAATGAGCCGCATTACTCGACCGCTATCGCGACCTGCGGTGATCTGGCAAATTCGATTTCTGGCACTTTCGCGGTTACGTTTCTAGAGCATTTGTGACAATATGTTTTCTATGTTTATTTGAAATATATGGGTATAAAAATGATAAAGGTCCTGTGTTAAATTGTCATAAATAAAATGTTATTTTCAAAAAAATATTGCCAACCTCTGCATAAGTTAAAGGCCTTTCATAGTTTTTGTTTACATTTTCAATCGCTTTCTCGTTGGCCGTACTTTAATAACTTTATTGTAGTGCAGGGGCAGGGCACGCATCGTTCCCCTCTCTTTGGGAAGACGGGTATGTCCGATATGTTCGATTCGGACGCTTACTAGTAAAGGTCGTCGAAGACTCCAGATGAGTTCCCGCGGTCTCATTTAGTGCCGCTGTCTCGCTCGCAGCTGGGAGGGACTGCAGACTGAGTGAGATGATGGGGGGCATCTCAGATTTTTAGTGTGTAGCCAGGCCACCCACCCCGCCTGAAAAGTCGCTGAGCCAGTCTCAGGGCTGGCTGAGTCTGGGGGCCGTTCTCACATAACCCCGTCGCCACTTCTTAGTCCCTAGGGGTTATACATCACGCATATTCCAGACGAAAAAAAACAAAAGGGCACGCATCATACCGGGAAGCTTGTGTTATGGTTGAGGCAAGATGTGCAGGTGGAGTACTGCAGGCAGGTGGGCAGCGCCGTGAGCCGCAGCACGGTGCCATTAGTCACTTCGTAGTGCTTGAACGAGACGCGGTGGTATTCGTACACAGTCTTCCGTCTCACGTCTGAACAACAAGGATTGAATATGAAAGTATGTTGCATTATTGAAGTGAAACTTTTTTAGGCACGCTTGACTTGGGGGGTAAACTGTCGAATGTGTTACGATTTTTGCGTTACGATTAGTGTCATCGGTGAACAATGAACAAGACCCGTCACAAAATACATGAAATTAGTGTTTAGTGGGTGATAACGGACCCAGCGCGGATTGGTGGGTGATAACAGTCCCAGCGCGGATTGGAGGGTGATAATGGACCCAGTGCGGATTGGAGGGTGCTAACGGACGCAGCGCAGATTGGTGGGTGACAATGGACCCAGTGCGGGTTGGTGGGTGATAACGGTCCCAGCGCGGATTGGTGGGTGATAACGGACCCAGCGCGGATTGTTGGTTTATTTTTCTATCAACAAATATTCAGGTTAAGTTTATGACTTTCAGATCATTGGCGCTAAAGAAGTTTCACTTCAGTCGTGTGGTCATAAGCACACTCGTTTTCTTTTTATGTTGGTACGCTTTTCAGCAACATGTCCGTCCTTTGAGGCGTTCATGGAGCCAAAGCCAACACGAAGAGGCTTTTTATTACCATTTCATGTAAAAAGTGAGATAGCATCTTTGGAGGTATCCCTTAATGTACAATTGAGATGCACTGACGGACATTATTATAACTATACAGTATGGTTTAGAGTACGTCATACTGTTACTTTGTTACGCCATTGCACCATATAGGTAACGATGATACAGCACCGACCTCGAATTTACTGTTAATTGACTCGGCGCAACTTTAGGTCTGAGGACCAAGCACGAATTTTAACAATTCCGTAATCACATCGTCATCGTCAAATTTTGGATGGAAAAAGCTAGTTTGTTCTTACGTTCGATCCCTATATAAGTAGCTTTTTTGCTGTTTATTTTTATAGAAACTTTGCCGATGCGATACCATTACTGAGCTGTCAAAATTCGTGGATGGGCCGTTTCAGGACACAGCCGAATTTCGATAAAAGATATCAGGCAATACATTCGTTCGCACGTAGAATAATTTTAATTGTAATTTTTTCTAAATAATGAATTAGTTTAATATATAAAGCGTGTACTCACAGAATATGATCTTGTCGGTGAAGTATGCGTCGCTGATGCCGATTTTGACAGGGTGTGCGGTATCGTTGATTTCGTTCACTGCGAGTGGTATCTGTTTGTACGCGAACGCAATGTCGCCGTTGTTGTACAGCGTCACGGCAAACGTGAAAAGTTGGCTGGGGTGTTCACGCAGCGCCACCTGCTCCCAAAACGCGGTGAACTTCTCGCCTGCGCGACGAATAACCAAAACACAGACTTAGAACACTACTAGTTGCTACTACAATTGTGGCGGCGACATCTACAAGCCCCACATATAATCAACATGGAGGAAGTAATTACTCGTCTCGTCAAGAGATGGAGCTACCGGCGCTGCACTCATAAAGTATGGAAGCCTAAATCGCGCAAGAGAAATTCGGAGGCTAACTCTTCATATATACAAGGCCCGACCAACATCAGTACGCCCGCGGTCCCTGAGCTACCATCACCCAGCTACGAGTAAGATCTTCTTCCCCTTTGGTCTTGCTACACATTGTTCCCCAAACGAAGAATTTAATACTTTCGTCTTGGGGCTTTATATCGCTGTTCCAAGTTATCATATCATATTTGACAATGACATTTCGCACTCGCAAACCTGACGAATTCCATATTGGTTCGTGCAGCTCCCAGAACGCGGTGAACTTCTCGCCTGCCCGACGAACATAACATAGATTTCACGCAATATATATCATGGAAGGTGTCGCTGACGAACGACCCTCTTATACTTGAATTCTACATATTTATGACTTATTCCACAAATAATTCCGATGTAGATTAACGAACGTATAGCATAGCGTTTGACTACCACAAGAGCTTGTAACAGCTTATTAATAGAGAGCACACGCACGAGTGCGTGAGCTGGCCCGTGTACTTACCGTCATCGGCTAGCGTGATGGGACTGAGGTTCGTGAGCGACGTGTCGAAGTTGGCCATCAGCGGCGCGATGTACTGCGTGGCCGCGAGCCACGAGTGCGTATACTCGCCCGTGTACTTACCGTCATCGGCTAGCGTGATGCGACTGAGATTCGTGAGCGACGTGTCGAAGTTGGCCATGAGCGGCGCGATGTACTGCATGGCCGCGAGCCACGAGTGCGTATACTCGCCTGTGTACTTACCGGCATCGGCTAGCGTGATGCGACTGAGATTCGTGAGCGACGTGTCGAAGTTGGCCATCAGCGGCGCGATGTACTGCGTGGCCGCGAGCCACGAGTGCGTGTGCTCGCCCGTGTACGTACCGTTATCGGCTAGCGTGATGCGACTGAGGTTCGTGGGCGACGTGTCGAAGTTGGCCATGAGCGGCGCGATGTACTGCGTGGCCGCAAGCCACGAGTGCATATACTCGCCCGTGTACTTACCGTCATCGGCTAGCGTGATGCGACTGAGGTTCGTGAGCGACGTGTCGAAGTTGGCCATGAGCGGCGCGATGTACTGCGTGGCCGCAAGCCACGAGTGCGTATACTCGCCCGTGTACTTACCGTCATCGGCTAGCGTGATGCGACTGAGGTTCGTGAGCGACGTGTCGAAGTTGGCCATAAGCGGCGCGATGTACTGCGTGGCCGCGAGCCAAGAGTGCGTGTGCTCGCCCGTGTACACGAACCCGCCCGTCGCCACCGTCACTGACTTGATCCAATGCCCGTAGAACGGGAACCGGAAGCTCAGCTGCACCGTCTGATGACCACAAACAAGATAACGTAGTTGAGTAAACGAAAATATAAAGAGAATGGACTAGGCATTCCTAAGCCGGTGATGCCTCCCCGCACGTGCGTGACAAAGCTTTGACTAGTTTTTGCGCTAAAATTAGGGCCAAAACTTTCGGCACTAAATGTGTGCTTGTACTTTGCTTCATCTGCACATACAAATTTATTTTCCTGAACGAACCTGTAATTATTGAGATTAGCGAGTTCAACCTCATATAAACAAACATATACTTCAGCTTATTCTAGTATTGGTAAAGATAGGTCCCAACAGAAAGTAGGAAAAAAATATGGACTATTGAAAAGAACTTTCTAATAAATAAATTGGAATAAAGTTTATTTTCATTACATTACAAATGACTCCACCCCAGCAGATGTTAAATGACGATGCAGTCCAGACGCAAAAATAGCTAAAATAGAAGCCGGTCTAGCAGTCTTACCTGCCACACCAGCCATCTTCACCTTGCCGGCCTGATTCGTATCTTTCACACTTTTCTGCTAGATTTATTTATTTATTGATTTATGGACCATCAACACAGCTATATGAATACAAATAAACTAACGCATATGCTTAAGTATTAGGATATAATATAACTGTAATTAAAGATGGCCTCATCATGCGCTAAACAGTAAACAGTTTTTTTGAACATTTTCTACATACGGACTTTACTACACAACACAAATATTTGCCTAATCACAGAATAACCACAACAGTCTATCATGCTCTATAATTATTTAAAAGGCGAAAACACTGCCAAATATGGTCGTAAGTTCAGAAAACCACTTACGTACCAGACCCATTATTAGCGAACTAATTTTATTAACAATAATATTAAACAGTTAAGTACCTACTTTCTCAGTATTCTAAATATTTTATTTTTCAAAGTTGGTATTTTATCATGAAAAATATCAATAGTATCATCCTTCTTCACAAGCTAACCAATTAATCTACTTAACCTAGGGATGAGTGAGCGATGACCCAAATTGCTACGGTACGTTTTGTGTGTCAGGAGTGATGCCGATAGATGGTCGCACGATATCGCTTTCTCTCTTTCTAAAGAATTATGAATTTATGGGAGGTATGGCTCAGTCTCAATCTCTATTTATGTGCAACAAACATACAATAAATGGTTGGATGGAGCCATCATCATCAGCCTTTTAATGTCCTCCCTGTTGACACACAGGCCTTCCCTATGGATAGAATAGGAAGACTGGCCGTGACCCACCACCACTGCAGATGCATTCGGGACCAATAGTGCAACGTACCTTCCTAAGCACAGAGATACTCAAGATAATAAGTTTTTGGTCGCCCATCCAATTACCGACCACCTGCGCCATCTTGCTCCTGGAGCCATACACGTAGAGTATGGACTCAGCAAAGGGGCAATACCTGCATGAAGTTGATAAACCTCCAGAAAGTTAGAAAGCGCTATCATGCATACCGAGCAGATTAGTGTGAAAGATATGACCGGAGAAGCGACCGAAAGTTTGTGTTCAATTATATCTTACAGTGTGCTTTGTTCTCGTTACATCCGTTGTGATGCTGTTCAAATTTCCATACAAAACTTCTTGATATTTGATTGACGCGTATCGAATTAGATATTGGTTCGTGCTAAGGGTACTGATGTAAAGTAACGGTGTAGTCCAGGCGCGAAGATACATAGTTCTAGCAGTTATAACACATACCGTGGCCTTCCTGTAGGAGTGGCTGAGCATGTCGTGGGGCTTTGCGGGCGTGGCGGTGATGTTCGCCCAGTGTTCCGCGAAGTACTTCGGGTCGCCGATGAACGAGCTGTTGTAGAACGTGTGGTTGTCCTGGCGCAACGACAAAAAAACGCACACGGTAAGACTACTATTTTTATAGGCGGCAAATGACTTCAGCCCGCCTGGACTGTACCACTACTTAACATCAGGTTTAAGTGGTGGTACAGTACAGGCCCTAAGATAGCTGGTGCAGCAGTTATATACTGCCAGACCAACCCTCTACACCTTGCCGGCCTGCAGAAATGCTTTTTCACGCCTCTTTTAAAGGACGTGCGCGGGCAAAGAATTCCACTTGCGAATAGTATGACAGAGAAATGAGTCACACAGTGGTCACAGTAAGTCGGTAACACCGTAAGTCAGCGCGCGTGGTCCTCTGAAGGAAAAAGGGAAAGGTGGGATGTGGAACATTCCAACTCAATGGCGGATTTTAAGTTAGTGCAAGTCGCGGCGCAGTAAACGAAATGTACGTGTGTGGGCGCGCGCGGGATATCACTAAACTGAAACCTGTGCAAAGTTGCTAACTTCATAATCGCCATAAATCAGCTCTTTATTAGAATTAACTTTTGAATTTTAGTAATTGCTGTCACTTTTCTTGCTATTACAACGAAGTAAGACAACATGTTTAACTTTACTTTAACAGAGACAAAACATGGAGTAACAAGCTTATTCTGCGTTTATAAATAAGGAGGTACGAGAGGGAGTTTGTAGACAAAAACACTTTTATCTGGATAACTTTTTGTATTAAATGTTATTTATAAAGTAAATATATAACCAAAATAGAAAATGGCGTCGATTCTATAAAGTTAAATCTAAATTTAGCACCAGTCTCTCCTTTTTATTCTGTATAGAGAATGACTAAGATACACTGTTGTCAAATTTACGTTTAGGTTTAGAGAATCGTGTCAGAATTGACACTTGAGGACACTTGACTTTACTATGAGGTTATATTTGTTATTTATATTTTACTAGCTGTTCCCCGCGGTGTTATCCGCTGTTTATTAGGAATATTTTCCCGCAGTAAAACGTAGCCTAGTTAATCCAGGGTGTCAGCTTACTCCATTTTAAATTTTATTAAAATCGCCCCAGTTGTTTAGACGTGAAGAAGAAACAAACATACACACTCACAAACTATGGCCTTTATAATATTAGTGTGATAAATATCCAAAAAAAATCCACCCACAATACCTGCTTTCCCCTTTAATTTAAGAGGAAATCCAGAGGCATCATTGGCTGGCAACTTACGTATTTCAAGGCGCTGAAGTTTCTTTCAGCTCTAACCATCTCCGGGGTCTCGAACACATTCGTAAAATCTGCAACAATACGAAATGTATCAATAGAGTATGACCATTAAAGATGACAATGTTATTTATTTATTAATAGATACCTAAATACCTTGTGCCTTCTAAAGGCCTTGGGTTAGAATCCTGGTAAGGGCATTAACTTTTTTACACACACATCAATTAGCGAAGCCCCAAAGTAAGCACTGTAAGGCTTGTGTTATGGGATACTAGGGTAACAGATAGAGACTAGCATATTGCAAGGCATCCAACCCCTATCGGAGAAGGCAGGTGTGCTTCAGAATATGATAGCAAAATTTTTGAGTAATAAACAATTGATTAAAAGAAAATTGTGAGGTTACGATGGGGCTAGTATGGACAATTTGGTCCAAAAGTCACTTCAAACAATACCAGGCCACTCAGAAAGTTTTGCAAAAAACAGTACCCCTAGTATGAGTTTTAATCGTTTTCGAATTCGATCAATCGTATCGTCTCGTTTCCATACATTGACTAGCAGTGCCTCTAGTGTAACTATCAAAAACAAAAATCAGCAGTATGAGTTTCATCGAGTCATCGTAAAACGAAAACTACCAAAGTTTTCGTATGTCGTTTGCATTTTGGCAGTAAAAGTTACAACTTTGACAGCGCGTCACGAGTATACTACGACGTTTGATCGTATCGTCACTTGATTAGAAACTTTCAGTGACTAAGTGTTTCAGGCCTAGTTTTTATGCAATCTAATAATGTTTTCGGCACAATATTTAGCTCTCATGCTCGCTGAAGACATTGACGAAGACCAGTGTACAGGAACGACGGGAATTATTACAGCGGAGGCGATTAACGTCTTTTATCACCGACAGGCATTTTGTGCAATGTATATATATTTTTGATGTGTTAAATCTTTCCTCTCGCCTTCCTGCAATTTGTAGGAATGATTTCGTGAAATGGGACGGAAGTGTGTAACAGGAAGTCGCGAAAGCGCGCACTATTTGATTTGATTTTAGAACATAATGAACGTTTAAGTGGCTTATTCCTTTTGTAGTAGGTTTTATTTCTTTTTTTTACTAATATAAGGTGAGGTTTCAAATGTTACACATCATACGCGACTACTGTACAAAGACTTTATATAATACCTAGACTGTGCACGAAAAAAATTCGTCAATCTAAAGTAAGATTTATATCTGTAGTAATAGGATAGCTATTATCTTGATAAGCGGTCGCTAGTGAAAACGGTCCTTAGTGAGAAAGCACCCAACGGGAGTGTGTCCCTTTCTAACGTCTTGCCAGCTCAATTTATCTTTGAGTTTGGTAGAATTGGTAGAAAATGTCATCCTTTTCTATTTGTGATTTACTAATTAATTACCGATACGAACGATTCGTAAACTATAAAACGTCTTTAAACATTTCTACAGTTCCTATAAATAATGAAATAATCATTGATATTTTTAAAATAAATCTAAATACAGAGTAAAAGTAGTATTTAAATGGTTGAGCCTGGTAATACTGAATGTAAGATGGTGATTTGTTCACTTGATCGTTAAATTGATTTACCCGCTTTGATTTCAAATATTGTAAATTTGCTTATTAAAGTGTATTTTTTTAAAATGGTGAACTCGTGTTGTGTAACTGAAACAGCTCAAAAACAATAAGGCGCCGGGTGATGACGGAGTTACAGCCGAGCTTTCTGAAAGCAGGTGGACGACCAGTCTTGAAATCTCGTCAGAAGCTATTTAACTCTGTCATACTCGAGGGCAGAACGCCTAGCGCATGGCATAGGGGAGTGGTGGCGCTTTTCTTCAAGAAGGGCGACAGGGCCCAATTGAAGAATTACAGACCCATCACGCTCCTGAGTCATGTATACAAGCTGTTTTCGAGAGTCCTCACGAATCGTCTCGCGCGCAGGTTTGACGACTTCCAGCCTCCCGAACAAGCCGGATTCCGAAAAGGGTTTAGTACCGTAGACCACATCCATACGCTGCGGCAGGTTATACAGAAGACCGAAGAGTATAACCTGCCATTATGCTTGGCGTTTGTGGACTACGAGAAAGCCTTCGATTCGATCGAGACATCGGCCGTGCTTCGGTCACTCCAAAGGTGCCAAATAGACTATCGATACATCGAAGTGTTGCAGTCGTTGTATGAAAACGCCACTATGTCAGTTCGACTCCAGGACCAAAACACGAAGCCAATCCAGCTGCAGCGTGGTGTAAGACAGGGTGACGTTATATCACCGAAACTGTTTACAGCTGCGCTGGAAGACGTTTTCAAACTTTTGGACTGGAGCGGACTTGGCATCAACATAAACGGCGAGTACATGACGCACCTTCGATTTGCAGATGATATCGTAGTCATGGCTGAGACCATGGATGACCTTGGCACAATGCTCGGCGACCTCAGTAGGGTGTCCCAACAAGTGGGTCTCAAAATGAACATGGACAAGACGAAAATCATGTCGAATTCCCATGTCGTACCCACTCCAGTGACTGTTGGGAGCTCTACACTGGAAGTTGTTGACCAGTACGTATACCTGGGACAAATAGTCCAACTGGGTAAGTCCAACTTCCAGAAAGAGGTTAATCGACGAATCCAACTCGGCTGGGCAACGTTCGGGAAGCTACGTAGCATCTTCTCGGAACATCTACCGCAGTGCCTCAAGACGAAAGTCTTCAATTCGTGCGTGTTGCCAGTGATGACATACGGAACCGAGACGTGGCCGCTTACAATGGGTCTTGTAAGAAGGCTCAAAGTCACCCAAAGGGCAATGGAGAGGGCTATGCTCGGAGTTTCTCTGCGTGTTCGAATCAGAAATGAGGAAATACGCAAGAGAACTAAAGTCACCGACATAGCCCACAGAATTGCAAACCTTAAGTGGCAATGGGCAGGGCACATTGCTCGCAGGACCGATGGCCGCTGGGGCGGAAAGGTCCTCGAGTGGCGACCGCGTACCGGGAAACGCAGTGTTGGCAGGCCCCCCACAAGGTGGACCGACGATCTGGTAAAGGTCGCGGGAAGCCGCTGGATGCGGGCAGCATGGGACCGATCGTTGTGGAAATCCATGGGGGAGGCCTATGTCCAACAGTGGACGTCTTTCGGCTGATGATGATGATGATGATGATGTGTTGTGTAACCGGGTGCTACAATGAATCTATTCCCGGTAGCACTTTTTCTTTTCACGGGTAAGTAAAACTAACAGTCATATTCAGTTTGGAGGTAGATGAGTTTTTTTTTCTTAACATGAGTTGTGTGAATTTAAATACCGAATTAAACAGTTCATAGAACCTATGTACCTATTATTATTTTTAAAACCTACATAACTTCGTTTGGACTGCGTTTAGAGGTATAAGCATAGATGAGCTTTGTCATATTAATTAACACTACATAGTCGTGGGGGTTGCTTCCCACACTTGATGCTGGTTAAGGGTAAGGTTACTCCAAGGAGTGCTAAATAAAACCGAACCGTTTGAATGTTGTAAAAACACTTATTTATTTCGATAACTAATTGTGCAAAGAAAATACAATTTCATGAGTATGCTTAAAAGTAATCTGAGTCAATTTGAAATCATTACAATGCCAATCAAGTAGGTATGTACAGCTCGTACATCTTGGCCACTTAAGAAAAGAAATTTCAGACCCTTTCTTATATCAAACTGCTGTCATAAATGTATTAAAGTGATTAGTTAGTAACAATCATCCTTATAATTATGTTAGATGGTGAATTATTTTATATTAGTAACAAGGTTTCTTAAGAGCCCTTTCACATTTTTTGCAATAAATCGCAATTTGTGAGCGCCTCGTTTGCCCCCTTAGAAGAGGTTTTGACTACTTCCAATAAAAGTAAACATTAGATTTATTCTTCCTTTTGTTTTCCCCTTTCCGATGTATCTGGGTATTGATATTTTATTTATATTTTTAAAATCTTTTCTTAGTTGCTCCCATTCATTTTGCATTTGTACAGGTAGGTTGCTATCCCATGATGTACCTGATGACCATGCTCTTTGAAAGAGAAGCTTTGCTTTGACTGTGACAGGAGTAATCCACCCTAAGGGGTCAAACACCTTAGAGATATCGGATAACAATTGTCTTTTTGTGCAACATTGTTTATCACAGTCTAATTTGTTTTGAAATGTGAACGTGTCTGTCGCGGGCTGCCACTGTAATCCGAGCGTTTTGCGCGAATCCGAACATTTGAACTGAAAAGGAGTATCTATTTGATTAGAATCTAAATCGGTAACAAGGTCATTGTTGTTTGCCGACCATTTTCTTAAGTTCATACCTGCGCCCTTTAATATATTAATTAATTGACGTTGCAATTCTTTTGTTAACTGTAATGTTTGGTGTCCACATAAAAGGTCATCGGTAAAAAATGAATTTTCTAATGCTTGTGCTGCTAATGGATACTTTGATGCGTCATCCTTTGCTAATTGACGTAGTGTTCTTATTGCTAAGTATGGTGCTGCTTTAGTACCGTAGGTTACGGTTGTTAGTTGATATTCACGTAGAGGCTCATTGGGAGTGTTCCGCCATATTATTGAATGTAAGGGTTGATCTACTGCTCTGATTAGTATTTGCCGGAACATCTTCTCAATGTCTGCTGTGATGACGTATTTATGGTTCCTCCACATCAATATCAGATCTTGTAAATCAACTTGTAAATTTGGGCCGCATTCCATTAAATACAACTCGAAGTTTAGTCGTGCTAGAGTCCAATTTCAACACGCCGTGATGAGGTAAGTAGAAACTGGGATTTGTTGTTGCTTGTGCTGGTATCATGTGACCTAATTGCTGGTATTCTTCTAGAAAAGATTTATATTCCTCTGAGAAGTTATGCTGTTTTTTCATTTTTGTTTCTAATTGTTTGAACTGTGCTATTGCTTTTTGTTTAGATTCACCGAGATTTGCTTCGAATCCCTTCTTCATTGGAAGCGCGACTTCATACCGTCCATCTTCTAATCGCTTAGTTGTTGCTTGTTAAAAGTCCTCGCAGTATTGCTCCTCTAGTGTAAGGTTGCTCGAGTTGCTAGTGATGTCTTCCA